ATATAAAAAATAAAAAGATATCTTAAAAAATTATTGTGTAATAAAAAATAAAAATTATTGTTTTTATTATTACCAACTTTATGGTTAAGATGAATCAAGAAGCATTTTGTTTCTCAATATGTTCATTAACTAAGTTTTATTTCAATTGTAACCCTGTTTCAGTTATTGAATTTTAGAAAAATGTACGTATTAAAAAAACAATTCGATTTCTAATGGTGCATTATTCTAATTTTACCTATTTTTAAAAGTGATGAAACTTTGTTTTTTCCTATTTCTATTTTTTTTACAATAAGTATAACACTAGATTATAAATCCCGAGTATATAGATATATCTCTATTACTCCAAATTTCGTCATTGGAACAAGAATTGAAATTGAAGCAAACTTAGGCAATCTTCTAAAAACCAGTTAGTTCACTAAACAGAAGAGATCAGAAAAATGCATCAATCTTTGATGAAAACATAAATACATAATCGGAAAGTTCTGCAAACAGGAGAAGGCACTTAATCGTTGATGGAAGCATAAAAAATTGCAGGAAGAAGCATATATATAAGTGAAGCAGAATTGACAAGAAGCTGACATGGAATAGTGACAACATCTTCAGCTGTCTAGTTCGACTCTTCATAGCAGAAATCCTCGGTTTCACCGTCATTGGGGACAACAGCTTCACCACCTAACGTGTATCGTCTCCGTTGTTTCACTCTATGAGCTATGCTATCAGCTTCAATTACAACTTCAATATCAGGAGCTCTCAAGTAGTCATAATCATCTTCAATACCCACCTTCAACTTTTCGTTTTTTCTCTCTCTTCTTGAGTCAATCGCTTGAACGATTCATATGCATCTTCTATTTATACGGAATAAAAAATCGGTCAATAGATGTTGCGGTTCTATTTGACAGATCTTGTTTTCCTTGTTCTGTTCGTTCCTTTGTCTGATAACCATCAATAACATGACCCTAGCAGACACGTACAAGTCTGAAGTATCTATAAAACTCCACGGTTTTTCTGTTACTGCTCTTGCAGATCATAATGGGTTCGCCTTCTATCATGCCGTGTCACCAGATCCTTATCTCCAGCTTCTATAACATCCAATTTCTCAAATGCAGATGCACCAAGTCTTTGAATCATAACCAATCTATTGGGAACCCTCATCTGGCCTTCAAGGAAGATTTCATATTCATCATCAGTTTCCGTATCAGAATTGGCGACATTATCTTTAGAACTTCAACCAGTGTTGCGTCTTGAACAACCTTGCACCTTGAACTTGGTGTTCTTATCACCACGAGAAGGCTGATCATCATGTACAAAATCAGTGCTATTGTCATCACTTTCATCCTCACAAGGATTCTTGACTTGCAAAGATACTCTACAGTGTTGTAAACAAATTCAAAGCTGCTTGCTTGTATGTGGTCATACTAAAATTTAGGAAGGCAGAAACCTAAATTAAATTATACTAGAATTTATGTGGCTTTCTGAACAGACAAGTCTTATGTTTCTGCCTTGTTTGACTGCCTTGTCCGTGATTCTCGAAATGCATATTTTCTTATTTATATACATTTTAGTTTTTGTTATGATATGTTCTGTTTATATATCTATATATATATAGATATATATTTTTATAGTTGTGTTGATTATTTTACTATAAACAAAAAGGAAATATTTAATATAAAAACTATTGAACCTAGTTGTTACAGAAATAAATCTATTAAACCTTCTGAGAATGAATCCAAACTTGATTTTCTTGACAGGCCCTTTGAGAAAAAAAACTTGATTTTCTTGACCTAAGATATCAAGTCAAACTACAAACACTGCATTTTCTTATCGTCGAGATCATCATGCTAATTTATTATGGATAAAAATCATATACAAGAAAAAAAGAAACCTCAGAAACTAATCCACACTTGACTTTCTTGAACCTTGACCGAACAAATCAAGAAAACATTGCACTACGATTACCGTCTATTAGAGGTTCCAATTTTATAAATCAAAATCTATTGTTTACGACATATTAATTGATTGTTGGCTTGTTTTCACAATATATCCAATGAACAGTACTATTACATATGATTTTTTGTTTTGTACAGTATGTGAATTCATAACAAACAATTCAATATTAAACAACCTCCGAAACTCCTTCGTGTTTTTTAACTAATCTTTTATCCCACGTAGCGTAAATGTCGATGCATCGATGGCCTTGCTAAAATTCAAGCACTAAACCTAGATTGAATTCAAATTCATAAACGATGAATTTGAAAAGAAAACTCTGGAAATCCACCAAATTAGGGAAAAGTTCCCTACTTTGATTAATTAGAATAACAAGATATGTCTCATGGGTACAACTTATAAGTGTTTATATAGGAAAACAAAACCCTTGAATATCTAAAACTAAAAAGGAAAAACATAATTAAAGGAAAAAGGAAGATTAGGAAAATCTCAAAAGTAAAATAAGGAAAATAAAGAAAATCTCTTAAACGTCTCCTACATCACAGACTAAGCCGATAGTTTTTGTTCCTTCTCACAACCAACTTAGCGACCTAACAAAATTTTGATTTTGGAGTTTCATATGACAAGACAAAAAAAAAATCAATATTCACAATGTTGAGCATCTGAATATTTAAATTTTGAATTTTTAATAATCGCATAAAAGGTACATATCAATAATTAATCTAGTCATTATTTGGCAATATATGCTAAATACAGTTTTTTAAATTGATTTGTTAAAGAAAACACTTGGAAAAGAAAAGATAAATTATTTCGGTTTTCAGAATAATTAAAAAACAAACCTTCTCTGATTTCAATAAACCAAAATTTGACAAAATTAGTTATTCCCTCTGTTTCAATATATAAGGGATTTAAGATTTTTTGTTTTGTTTCATATTATAAGGGGTTTTCAGTTTTCTATGTAAAATTAAATGTGTTTTTGTTGCTTCTTACTTTATAAATTGTGCAGATTGTTTTTTCATTGGTTAAAATGTTTTGGAAATGATGGAAAAAACATATTTTATTTTGAATAACTAAAAAAATAAATGAACTCTTAATCTTTGTGTAAAAACCTTAAACCCCTTATATATTGAAACAAAGGGAGTATTCTTTTTCGATTTATTGCTATTGACTTGGTTTTGGCATAGTCCCGCGACGTTGGTTTTATGACTTTATCGGTTAAACGTTCGAATTTTCTTTTCGTAGAAAAGAAAAGATTGAATCACTAGATATCAAAAAGACGAAACTGTTCCAATGTCTCGTTCTCGTACATAACCCGAGCTAGCGTTTAATGTGTACTAAATGATCTTATCCATATTATAGTATACATGCACCTTTAACGATCGCGTAAGAAGTTTGTCGACACACAATATGGGTAGAGTTTGTGTGGTCACTAATCCAAAAAGTATATGTTAAAAAATTAACAAGAGAACTGATCAATTGATCAAGAAAATTCATACCAAACAAAGTATTCAGGTGAGAAATTCTTTCCGGAACAAATCATTCTCTACCACTCACAATTCTTTCTTCTCCATTAGTTTTATAAATACTACTTGTTCAAAGTCATTATTAATTAAAAGAAAATCTAGTTTATTTAGGTAGAAAAGTACGTTCCAGAATGAGTAATGATTGTTCTATACACTTCAATTATACGAGTATTATATCTCAAAAATTTCAAGCTTCATATTTTCTATAAATATTGTTAGAAACGAGCTGGCATTGATTGAACGATCGTGATCAGAAATGTTATGTAATCGTTACAGAGACTGTTTTGGATGTTTCATATGGTGATTTTTATACGCCTGGACATGTCTGTATGGTGATCTTTAATTCTTTTATACATACAAATAAAGTACAACGACTACAAATAAAATTTTGAATGGTGATTTTTATACATACAAATTTATACTATATATTCTTAGAAAGAAGTAAACTAATTGGTAATTGCCGCTTTAACAAACAAAAAGCTGATTGCTCGGTGGATTAGTTAGGAAAATTAAGCAGACCAGTGGATAACTAGTACCTAACCGTTTAAAACATTAATAGTTATCTTTGAACTTACGGCTGACTTTTTATTTGTTACAATAATTTCTATAACTAAATGTTGGTGGCAATCTAACTATATAAACGCAAGTCTTAGGTTATACTTATTGCAGTTAATTTTGGGTGAGATTTGATCCCAATTAGTAGTTGAGAAAAATGCTATTCCATTCATCAGTAAATGAAAAATAATTTGGCTTATTATGTTGTATTGGAGCCTAAAAACATTATTTTGGTAGCAACCATCAGTCAAAGAACGAGCAGCGTTTGATTTACTCCCGAACTACTCCTGCCTTAATTTTTTTAGTTTAGCCATATGATTTGTTGTTTCATTGATTTTTTTTTATAAAATGTTTCTTCAGGAACATTAGCATTTCGGGGAGCAGTTGCATGATATAGCAGCTGTAGATCCCCCATCTGTATTTCAAGGTATCTATTAATCCATTTTTATGTTTTGTCTATCTCAGATAATATTAAGAAATTTATGGTTTAAAAGCAAAATTATTACTCCTACTTGTTACTAATTTTAAACAACTCAACTAGTTATAAAAAGACTATACTGAAATATGATGATTTAAATATAAAACATTTAATTTACTCTCCAACTACTCCTGCCTTAATTTTCCAAAAAAATCTTGTATTTTGGTACTAATTTTAAACAACTAAACTAGTTATAAAAAGACTATACTGAAATATGATGATTTAAAGATAAAACATTTAATTTACTCTCGAACTACTCCTGCCTTAATTTTCCTAAAACTATTTTGAAGTGTAGAAAGTATCATTTTCCAAAAAATTATTCTGAGTATGGCACTGATAATCATCATGAAGACCAAATTGTAAATAAATGGAAAGCCCAAAGGTCCGAAACTTCACTAATTAGACACGGACGCCGAAACGTCCGAAACTTTACTTATTGTATATAATGTCACTGATATGTCGTATGTCAAAAAACACTTTTTATCCACAGAGAATTAGAAATGGCTACTTCCTCCGCGCCACCGCAGGTGAAAGACGAAGATCCCATAAACTGGGCGGAGCTTCCATCGGAGCTGATGGCTTCGATTCTGGTCCGTCTAAGCGTGGTTGACATACTGGAAAATGCCCAGAAAGTGTGCAAACCGTGGCGCTGCGTCTCTAAGGACCGCTCGATTTGGCGGAAAGTCGACATGCAAAACCTGAGAAATGGCCTTAATAGCGGCAAGTACTACTTGAGTAACATGTGCCGTCAAGCTATTGATCGCAGCGACGGCGGTATGGTCGAAATCAACATCGGCAGATTTGGTACAGATTCTCTCCTCACCTACATCGCCGACAGGTTTCTCTCTATCCTAAACACTTTTTTTAAGAAGCCTCTAAATGTTGTTTAGAAAAGTGGTTATGGTTTAACTTCACTTGATTTCTTTTTCTTAAAGACGCTATGAATGTTTAAACACCAAACTGTCTCAGTATTTTTGAGTGATAAGAAATGCAAGAACATGTTTCTTCCTCATTTTTCTTGTGTTCCTTTTTTTTATTACATGTTAAGCTGCATGCACTTTTGGACATTGAGTTACTCTTACTTGCTTTAGGAATGTAATAATGTATGACGTGCAACTTATAGTTCTCAACAATTTTTAGGATTAGATGCAGATCGATATATGAATGAAGGATAAGAAAAGTTCATGTCTTACGACTAGTTTTTTTTCCCTTTTTTTTATTTTGAAATCAGTTCAAGTGTTGTCCTCACATGCATTGTCAAGTTTATGTTTGTTTCAGACCATAGATAATACTAATTTTTTAATTTATTTTATTTTTCATGATTAATGAAAACAACTAGTCAGGTTATTACCAGAATTTGAATATATCATATCAGCTTAAGCATCATTAGAGTTTTGATTATTTGTCTCATGTTTTTAGTCGCCCAGTACTACAATAATTAATATCTTAATACTGTTGGTGTCCTTAGTTTATGATTTAACTAAACTCTACACGCAATTATTTGCAGATCAAGTAACCTGAGAAGCCTTAAATTTGCAATGAACGTTCGAATAACGAACGAGGGACTTGTGCTCGCAGTAGCAAAACTTCCATTGCTTGAAACGTTGGAGATCTCAAGCTTATGGTTCAATCTAAATTTGAAAGCTATAGGCCATTCTTGCCCTAAGCTTAAAACATTGAAGCTAAACTGCTCCGATTGCTGCCGCTTTGAGTACAAATGTGATGATGATGATGCTCTAGCGATCGCAGAAAGCATGCCTGAGCTACGCGAACTCCAGCTTCTTGCGAACAGACTTACTAACACCGGCTTAAACGCCATTCTTGACAACTGTCTTCACCTGGAACACCTTGACTTACGCCAGTGTTTAAACATAAACCTTTCCGAGGGTGATATGGAAAAGCGATGTTTGGAGAGGATCAAAGATTTCAGACGTCCCAATGACTCCACCGCTGATTGTCCGTTTTATGTCGCTTTTAGTTTCAGATGATAGTTTGGGCGATATATATGGGAGAGACGACTTTGATGGCTGCCAAAATTACTCAGGTATAAATGAGAGATACGACTGTGAGGGCTACTACTATGACCGGTGCTAGATGTTGAGTCTTTCTGAACAGTGGAGAGACGGTTTGTTTTTCTGGTCTTGTCAAGATCAGTGGTGAGTGATTATGATTTGTGAACTCGTTCATGTTTTATGTCTTTTTGCTTTCTCTATGTTCCTTGTTTTTCTTCTCTATTATTTTTGAGCTTTTAATATGCGACTATGAGTACGTGTTAACAACTAGCGAGAACGATGTTACTAGGCTTTTTTTTCATTCAGTGAAACGCAGACAAAATTAATTATCGACCAAGACATATTATTTTAGTTAGGGTCGTCATCTTTCTCCTTGACACTCCTTGTAATCTTCTTCTTCCTCATCCTCTGTCTCTCCTTGTCATTCATCTCCATCGTCCTTTTCTTCATTCTCATCGGACGTACTCTTCTCTTGGCAAACTTCATTATCTTCTTCTTCACTTGATTCTATTAAGACTCTTCCTTTGTCTTAGTCTGATCATCATCGTCCTCTTCTCATCTCCGTGCTCTTCATCATCACATTCATCTTCATCATCATAGAAAGTACATAATTTGAATGTCGAATACTACTACTCAAAGTATCTCTGTAAAAATAAAGGTTTCTTATTGTAATATATTTTTGTTACTTGTTCTTCAAGAAATGCAGGAAACGATTTCATCCTTTTCATAGAAAATACTCTATCCATTTCAATTTAAATGTCATTCTAGAGAAAACATGTTTTTTTTGTAATGTTGTTATATGATTTCATTGCAATTTATTATTATTGAGTTATCTCCTTTTTTCCCTAACCAAATTAACAAAAATAGTAAATTTTGTTTCCCTTTAATTTAAGTGATTTTCTCATGTTTATATGCAAAATTAAATAGTTTTAAATTGTTTTGACCGTCTAAATTATGAAAGTTGTTATATGATTAGTTGAGTTGTTCTAAAATTGACGAAAATGATGTTTTAATTTTGAAAAACATAAAATTCGATACTTTCTTAATTTTTGTGAAAAGCCTAAAAACCATAAAATGAAACAGGGTCAACATCGGCGGATTTGTTTCAGATTCTCTCCTCACCTACATCGCCGACAGGTTTCTCTCTATCCTAACACTTTTTTTTAAGAAGCTTCTAAATGTTGTTTAGAAAAGTGGTTATGGTTTAACTTCACTTGATTTCTTTTTTAAAGACGCTATGAATGTTTAAACACCAAACTGTCTCAGTATTTTGAGTGATAAGAAATGCAAAAACGTGTTTCTTCCTCATTTTTCTTGTGTTCTTTTTTGTTTGTCACATGTTAAGCTGCATGCACTTTTGGACATTGAGTTACTCTTACTTGCTTTAGGAATGTAATAATGTATGACGTGCAACTTATAGTTCTCAACAATTTTTAGGATTAGATGCATATATGAAGGTTAATAAAAGTTCATGTCTTAGGACTAAGCTTTTTGCCATTTTTATTTTGAAATCAGTGCTGCCATTACGCTCTCTTTTGTCCTCACATGCATTTTCAAGTGTTGTTTTGTTTCAGACCAGAGATAATACTAATTTTTCTTTTCCATGTTTAATGAAAACAACTAGTCAGGTTATTACCAGAATTTGAATATATCATATCAGCTTAATTGAATATATCATTTATTTTTTATTTATTTATTATTATTTTTTTTTACCAAACATTTTATTATGAAGAGAAAGCTATGACATGGAGTCATCCAGAGTTTAAAAGATAATACAAAGATTGAAAAAGATAAGGATGCATTGACGCATCAAATACAATCAAATCTTCCGCTTTGATTGAGATTTTAGCCTAGGAAAAGCTGTGAGCTAGCCACTCCCTTCTCTTCCACGGCCTCGGTTCCCTCGTCCGCCTCCTTTGATTTGCCAAATACTCTCCTGAGCTTTTATCGAAGGTTTAACAGGTCTATCTCGAAGAATTCTCTTTCCCGGAGGCGTCATGAGATCCATCACGTCGGAGGAATCATCTTCCCCTCCATCAGAGACCAAAGAGGCAAACTTATTGTTACCAAGATAAAGCTCAGGCTTATGCTAAATGAATATAGCATAAGCCTCGTTAGAGTTTTGATTATTTGTCTCATGTTTTTAGTCGTCCAGTACTACGACGATAGTTAATATCTTAATATATTGTTGTTGTTTATAGTTTGTGATTTAACTAAACTCTACACACAATTATTTGCAGATCAAGTAACCTGAGAAGCCTTGATCTTTCAATGAACTATGAAATAACGAACGAGGGACTTGTAAACGCAGTAGCAAAACTTCCATTGCTTGAAGAGCTGGAGATCTCATACTTAATCTCAAATCTGAATTTGGAAGCTATAGGCCATTCTTGCCCAATGCTAAAGACATTGAAGCTAAACTGCTTAGATCACTGCGACACTTGGTTCAGATGTGATGATGTTGATGCCCTAGCAATCGCGGAAAGCATGCCTGAGCTACGCCAACTCCAGATTCTTGCGAGTAGAGTTACTAACACCGGCTTAAAGGCCATTCTTGACAACTGTCCTCACCTGGAACACCTTGATTTACGCCAGTGTTTAAACATAAACCTTTCCGAGGGTGATACGGAAAAGCGATGTTTGGAGAGGATCAAAGATTTCAGGCGTCCCAATGACTCAACCGCTGATTGTTCATTTCATGTCGCTTTTAACGAAATTGATTCAGATGATGATTTAAGCAATATATAAGGGGGATACGACTTATATGAATCCTACGATTTCTCACGTACCGACGATTGTTGTTACAGTTGGTACTAGATGTTGAGACTTTCTGAACAGTGGGGAGAGTTTGTTTTGTCTGGTCTTGTCAAGATCAGTGGTGAGTGGTTTTTACTTATATATCGTTCGTGTCCTTTGGTTTTTCCCTGTGTTACTAGTTTCAGTGTCTTCTATTTTCTTTGAACTTTATAAGATTGGAATTCACGGGAACGATGTTACCAGGGCTGTTTTTTTAAGTGAACGCTGGCGAAATTAATCATCGACCTATACATATTATTTTAGTTAAGGCTCCGCACAAACAAAGAGCAGCGAGTCAAGATTCATCTGCCTTGTCATCTTTCTTATTGTCATCTTCTTCCTAATCCTCTCTCTCCCCTTGACATTCATCTCTCCGTTGTTACAGATCGAACCAGACGTTCCTTATCTGTTAATCCATTTTTATGTTTTGTCTATCTTCGATGATATTAAGAAATTTATAGTGTTAAAAGAAAAATATTACTATTTGGTAACTAATTTTAAACAACTAAACCGGTTATAAACGACTACATAATACATACTGAAATATGATGATTTAAAGATAAATACTACTAAAACAAAACAAATCTTCTATACATCTTGTATTTTGAAGCGTAGAAAGTATCATTTTCCAAATAATTATTCTCTTGAGTATATATGGCACTGAAAATCATCATGGAGACCAAAATTGTAAATAAATGGAAAGCCCAAAGGTCCGAAACTTCACTAATTAGACACGGACGCCGAAACGTCCGAAAACAACTCAACCAGTTTATCTTTTTAAACAAATCTTTAAAACATCTCGTATTTTGAAGCGTTGAAACTAGAAAGTATCAGTTTTCAAAAATTTATGTCTTTTGAGTATCTGAATATCATCGAGAAGACCAAATTGTAAAGTATGGAAAGCCGAAAGGTCCGAAACTTCACTAATTAGAGACACGGACACCGAAACGTCCGAAACTTTACCTGCTATATATCTCTGATACGACATAACTCTTTTATATTCTCAAGGAAAGTAGAAAAATGGCTACTTCCTCTTCCTCTTCGCCTCCGCAGATGAAAGACGAAGATCCTGTAAACTGGGCGGAGCTTCCATCGGAGCTGACGGCTTCGATTCTGGTCCGTCTTGTCGTGGTTGACATACTGAAAAATGCCCAGAAAGTGTGCAAACCGTGGCGCCGCATCTCTAAGGACCCCTCGATTTGGCGGAAAGTCGACATGCAAAACTTGGAAGTGGACGACTACTTCTTGAGTCTCATCTGCCGTCAAGTTGTTGATCGCAGCGAGGGCGGTTTGGTCGAAATCAAGATTGGCAACTTTGGTTACGATTCCCTCCTCACCTACATCGCCGACAGGTTCTCTAACACCTTTTAATTTCGTTTCAAGGAATCATGTAAATGTTGAGTATACTGATTGATAAGAAATATAATGTATGAACGTGATTTGTTTCCTTTCCTCGTGAGGAATTAGGCAACGTCATTTTTCTGGGATTCTTTTGTTTGTCACGTGTTTAGCTGGCTGCATGCACTTTTCAATTTAGAATTTCTCAACAATATTTGTTGGATTAGATATGCATATATATATAAAAAATAATTTAATATTGTTCATGTCTGCATATGTTTACAAATAAACAAAATTCGATTTTTATTTTGAATCACTTTGTCGTCATGCAGTTAAAATAGTCTTTTGCTCTCACATACGTTGTTTTATTGTAATTTGTTGTTTTGTTCATATCACCATCATACTAGTTATTAATCTTGTTTTATGAAAATACGTTTTAGTTTGTTAGCTTAATTAAAACCATCAGATTGGCTTGCATTAAGCTTCACTAGAGTTATTTTGTTTTGCTTTAAAATGTTGTTTTCTTTTTGTTTATGATTTACCTAACTCTCTATACACTGCAGATCAAGTAACCTGCGTAGCCTTGGATTGCAATGAACTATTACACAACGGACGAGGGACTTGTGAACGCAGTCGTAAAACTTCCATTGCTTGAAGAGCTGGAGATTGCATACTTATACTCAGATTTGAATTTGGAAGCTATAGGCCATTCTTGCCCAAAGCTAAGGACATTGAAGCTAAAGTGCTCAGGTCTGAGACAGCCTCGGTGTAAATCTTATGATGATGATGCTCTAGCGATCGCAGAAAGCATGCCTGAGCTACGACAACTCCAGCTTCTTGCGAACAGACTTACAAACACTGGCTTAAACGCCATTCTTGACAACTGTCCTCACCTGGAACACCTTGATTTACGCCAGTGTTTGAACATAAAACTTTCCGAGGGTGATTTGGAAAAGCGATGTTTGGAGAGGATCAAAGATTTCAGACCTCCCAATGACTCGACCGCTGATTGTCCATTTCATGTCGCTTTTGACGATACTAATGATGAAGGTTTTCGATTTATATATAGATACAATTAACACCATCTCTCACATGTCAACGACTATTGTTCCAGTGCGTACTAGAAGCTGAATCGTCTGAACAGTAGGAGAGAGTTTGTTTTTCTGGTCTTTGTCAAGATCAGTACGTGGTATAAGTGGTTTTGACCTATCTATCATTGTATCGTTTGTGTCCTTTTGTTTTTCTCTATGTTCCTTGTTTTAGCGTCTCTGTTTTATTTGGGCTTTATAAGATTGCAACCCTGGGGCGATCTATTTTTCTCTTTTTTAGTTTTTTTGTTTTAGCGCGCGTCTCTATTTTATTTGGACTCTATTATATTTTTCTCTATGTTCTAGGGCAATCTATTTTTTTCTCCAGTGAACGCTAGACATGTTTATTTTTCGTTAAGGCTCGGCACAAGCAAAGAAAAGTGTACCATACGAATCAAGATTCATCTGCTTCGCTTCGTCATCTTTCTCCTAGTAGTCTTCTTCTTCCTAATTTTCTGTCTCTCCATACATCACCCATGACCCACCCAGGCCCGGCCCTAGGGGTGTGCAAGCAGTGCAAAAGCACAGGGTCTAAGGTCCGGTCCACGTTTTTTCAGTTGTATTTTTCACATTTTAGGGTCCTATATTTTCTGAAATTATGCATTTAGGGTCCAAATGTTTAGATTTATCAAATTACATAACTAAATTTGAATTTTATGTTTGATTTGCACTGACATGAGCAAAGCTTATGACCGGATAGAATGGGACTTCCTACAAGCAGTACAAAAAAGGTTAGGCGTTCACTCCAAATGGATCAATTGGATCCATCAATGCGTATCCACAGTTAAATACGCTTACCTTCTCAATGATGGAGCACACGGAGCAGTCACACCACAACGAGGCATCAGGCAGGGAGACCCGTTGTCTCCTTACATCTTCATCCTTTGTGGAGAAGTTCTGTCTGGACTTTGTAGAAAAGCGCAACGAGAAGGATCTCTACCAGGGATTAAAGTGGCGAGAGGCAGCCCACCAATTAATCATCTCTTGTTTGCAGATGACACAATGTTCTTCTGCAAATCGAACCAGAAGAATTGTGAGACACTGAATAGAATCCTAAAAACATATGAGGAAGCTTCAGGGCAAATGATAAATCTAAGGAAGTCTTCTATCACTTTCGCAAAAAAGACAAGCTCAGAAACAATGGAAAAGGCAAAAGAAATACTGGGAATTACAGCTACGGGAGGACAAGGAAAGTACCTCGGACTTCCAGAACACTTCGGAAGAAAGAAGAAAGACCTCTTCACCTTATCGTGGACCGTATCCGAGGAAAGGCAGTGAGCTGGAAAACTAGATTCTTGTCGGGGGCGGGGAAGATGACAATGCTCCAGTCTGTGTTGTCAGCCATTCCAACTTACACAATGTCGTGTTTTAAGCTCCCAACGAGCCTCTGCAAAAGAATACAATCGGCGTTAACTAGATTTTGGTGGGATGAGACCTCAGGGAAGAAAAAGATGTGTTGGGTGGCATGGAAGAAACTTACACGGACAAAGAAGAAGGGAGGACTTGGCTTGAGGCCTTTAACGATGCTCTCGTGGCCAAGCTCAGCTGGCGCATCCTCTCCAACCCAAAGTGTCTGCTAGCCCGAGTCCTCAAAGGGAAATACTTCAGGCAGACCACCTTCCTAGAAGCTCGGAGTAGACAGTCAGCGTCCCACAGATGGCAAGGAATTGTCATCGGCCGAAACTTGTTGAGAGAACAACTGGGAATAGCTATAAGGAATGGAGCAGCTACGAGCTTGTGGAATGACCCATGGATCTCCCTGGATTCACCAACGAAACCTATGGGACCAGCGACGGAAGAGACAACATCATGGAGGGTTTCACAACTCATCGACCCCCACACCAAGACATGGGACAAAGAAAAAATAAGGTCAGTTTTACCAGGCCTAGAACAGCAAGTACTATGCATAAAACCAAGTCTTTTGGGGAAGGAAGACAAGCATATATGGTTAGCAACGGAATCAGGAGACTATACATCCAAAACCGGCTACCATATAGCTCGTGAAGCGCAGGAACAAGCAAATACAACTCCAGTTACAGATGAGGGGTTAATCAACTGGAATAGAGATGTTTGGAATGCTCATACCTCACAAAAACTGAAGGTCTTCTTATGGAAACTGAGCAGTGGAGCCTTAGCCTTGGGAGACAACCTTCTCAGCCGTGGTTTAGAGATAAACGCTGTATGCAATCGCTGCGGAGAGCTAGAAACCCGGGAACATTTGCTGTTTCAATGCTTTTTTGCTAAACAAGTATAGGAAGAGGTCCCGATAACGAATTTATCAACAAATATCGAGGAGGAGTCGTTCACGGAGGTGATCCAAGCGGCGAGAAATTGGATCTGCCTCCCTCCAATAGGCACTACCGGAGGTACGCTCTTCCCGTGGATCTGCTGGTTCCTGTGGCTCACCCGTAACAACCATATCTTCGATGAGAAAGGCTTCACGCGGGACACAATCTCAAAAGCGATCGCCAAAGCTCGAGAATGGGAAATAGCCCAGATCGCGCCACCGCAAAAGGAAAAGACAGGAAAAGCTAGGGATGCAGGTCCCCCTAATCCTCAGACGATCGTATGTTTCGTCGATGCAGCTTGGAGACCAGAGAACCAAGCAGCGGGATATGGTTGGGTCTTCAAATCCGGAAAGGACGAGTTTCTGAAGGAGGGCTGTAAGGCGGAAGCTCCGGTCAGATCCCCACTTGCAGCGGAAGCACTGGCTTTACGAGAAGCTCTCCTGGAAGCAAGATCACGAGGTTGGACAGACCTCTGCATCAAATCTGACTCCCAAACGCTCGTTCGAGCAATCCGATCAAACGACAACGTAGCTGAAATCTATGGAGTCGTTCAAGACATCCATCTCCTGGCTACTTCCTTTGTCAAGATCTCAGTCGAATTCACGCCTAGATCCCAGAGTCAACAGGCCGATTCGATCGCAAAATTAGCTCTATCTCTGTTTGTCCCGTTTACTTCGTTTGTATCGCGGAACAATTAAACGCTTGGTTTATCTAATTAATGAAAGACGTTCCAAAAAAAAAATGTTTGATTTGCACAGGGCCCAGCTTCACCTAACTCTACATCGTCTTCATCTTCCTTTCTTCGTAATATTGTTCATCTTTTTATTCCTTTGTATCGGTCTGATCATCATCGTCCCTTTGTCCTCTTCTTCATCACATTCATCTTCATCTTTATTGTACTCATTGTCATCTTCGTCTTCGTCTTCGTCATCATCATCATCTCCATCTATATAGTCCAGACTATAGATCGATTAAGATAAAAATTCAATGTTTTTTCTTATATATAAAAGGCATCATATAAACTGCTATCAAACTTAATAATTATGATTGTTTTAAATTTTGTTTCAAATTTTTATGTTATTTATACGCTAAATCAAATTTAAACCTTTTGTATTTTACATTGACTTCAAAACTGTTTATATTTTCTTATGCATGTGTATGTTCACCAACCAACGAGAGAATACAGTCAAACGATCACATTCCACGTGGCGGTTGTAGACTTGCTAGTCACTTTATACTAAGACAGTCAGTAACAATTAATTCTTCCGCTTCCAAACACAAAAAAAAAAGCGCGGATTTTTCCTATGGCTCAAAAACTCTGAGACACACAACACATAACGAAAACAGAGAGAAGAAGATAAAAGCAAAATGGCAACGGTCACGATTCTCTCTCCCAAATCGATCCCAAAGACCATCGATTCCAAATTCGGAGTTAGGGTTCCTGATTACACCGTCGGTTTCTCTCTCAACGTTCTTAAATACGGCGATTCCCGCCGGAGACTGAAGCTAGCGAAGCTGGTTTCGGCGGCGGGATTGTCACAGATCGAACCAGATATCAACGAAGATCCAATCGGTCAATTCGAACTTAACAGCATTGAAATGGTAAGAATCCGAATTCCCGATTGTGGATATTTCCTGAGCGATTGGTGAAATTTCTTGATTCTTCCGGTATTATGATTATCATAGGAGGATTTCAAGTATGGCTATTACGATGGAGCTCACACTTACTACGAAGGAGAAGTTGAAAAGGGTAATTTAGTCTTTGAACAATTTTCTTCCTTGTTTTTCGATCTTGTTTTAGCTATTTGATTTGTTGGTTTCATTGAATGTTTCTTCAGGAACATTTTGGGGAGCAATTGCAGATGATATTGCAGCTGTGGATCCTCCATCTGGATTTCAAGGTTTAATCTCTTGGATGTTTCTTCCTGCTATAGCTGCAGGGATGTATTTTGATGCTCCGGTAACTTTCAAAATCTTTTGCTTTTTGTTTATGTCTTTAAGTATGAGAAGAAGAATCAAGAGTGGTGGTTGTTGTGTGTTGCAGGGAGAGTACATGTTCATAGGAGCAGCGTTGTTCACGGTGGTGTTCTGTATTATAGAGATGGATAAACCAGACAAGCCGCACAACTTCGAGCCACAGATTTACAAGTTGGAGAGAGGAGCTCGTGACAAGCTCATTAGTGATTACAACTCTATGAGCATTTGGGACTTTAATGACAAGTATGGTGATGTCTGGGATTTCACTGTTGAGAAAGATGATATCGCCACTAGATAAGAGTTTTGATTGGAAACTGTTTATAAATTGATGTATGATGAAAACTTGTTACTCTCTGTGTATAATGTAAGATTGTTCTTTCTCTCAATTTTCTTTGATCGTTAAAAATTGATAGTACTTTTTTTGTTGTTGTTAACGAGCAAGATTGGTATTTCATTTTTAGTTAGAAGAGAGAAATTGAATTGTTAAAATATCTTATTATATGCATGCGTGCCCAAATTGGTTATAAAGAAAAAGAATGGAATCCACAGCTGAATACTTCACCAACCTAAATCATGTTCCAAATACAACTTCATGCTATTTCATATTGACATTGTAGTCGTGATTATGTTCAATGGGCCGTTGGTTACTCTTTTACATATGCATTTTCCGAGTACAATCAGATTCAAATGAACCATTCAGCTTTAAAAAACACGACGAAGATTGGTAAACCGGATGTTCTTGGAACACCTCAACAAAACAATGCATGGAAGTCTATATAGACATATCACATATCATCATAAAATCAGCCTACACGAATGACCATGTCACACACTTCGAAGGATGTTTTGAGCACAAGTGAACTCGGCTAAATATAGTAGACAAAGTAGAGATCAAAGCAAATCAAAATTATCCAAACCAAATAAATGCCTTAATATATAGCTAAGTGATATGTGGCACGTTAATGTTTGTGACATTATCTAAAAGTTTCATAGGTGTTATGATCAAGTTGTTCTAGTTCATATCTTTCTAAAAGCGTAAGGTAAGATTGGTTACTATAACTCCTATTACTTTTCTGGCAAATATCTATGAGTTGTTGTCACACTCATGATTGAAAATTTAAATGGTGACACAGCAAGTCAGCAACGGCACTAAAATGAAAATCAAGTTTGGATATACAAATCTTTTCGTACAACAACCAAAACATTGCAGCCACAAGAAGTAAAAGATTTTGCCATCGCCCTCCCATCTTAGCGAATTTGTACCGACATGGGGGAGTCCACTTCAACATTTAGATTGCCACATGCCAGAAACAAATATGGTGATGAAATTATGAAAATGACTTATAAAATATATCTTACGTCAAATTAATTTTGATTCTTAATAACATATTTAAATTTTATTTACAAATAAGTCTAGCTAGTTTATTTCTAATCACTACTTATTAATTTACCAGCATAAAATGTACCTACTGTTTAAATGAATATATATGAGAGTGTATAATAAAAGAGATTCTGAAATATCACATTGTTTTTTTTCGAAAATATAACAATTTGCTAAGAAGAAAACGTTTTAGATAGGTCTAAACGCCTACCAAAATCGGTTATTAGTTCTACAAAGTTTTTGTATTAAAGTTTTCCAAACCATGTTAAAAATGCTTCACTAAAAAGGGTATCTTTGTCAAACATTATTGGGGGTACTCTTATTACTCACACCTAGAATAGTGGGTACCTTCAATGGTCACATATGCCATATCAATATCATTAGTGCTTTGTGAAACCTGGTTATATGTAATTTATATATGAATATAAAGATATGTTTTTCTTCTCTTTTCATCTCAAATTCATGAAAATTATGGTTGATTAATATAACAATCATGTTCCTTTTGTTAGATATTTTCTTTGTCTCTCTTACTCGTATTGAACTGTGGGAGACATTCAAGTTCGACTTTCATATTGCGGATGGGATTTTCAAAGATGGAAACAAGACGATAGTATTCGTTATACGTATAGTTTGTTCGTTTTAAAAACGAGAAAAGTGAGTGGAAGAAAAATACAAAAAAGTAAGTAAGATAGTGATGAAGCCAAAATCGAAAGCGTGATGGTATTGGCAAATGGCAATGATAACAAAAACTGAGGTTTCCATTGAGATTCACATTGGGCTGTATCCACGTGCTTTTTCCACCTCTTCCTCTTCGATCCCATCTCATACCTAATTTGTTAAAATAATGTACATGTCAACATTTTGTTTATTTATTTAGTTTAATAGTGTTCCTTAGTCGTCTTGAACCTTGTTAGCTTGTTACTATAACGTGTTTCAATTCTATACGGCATGTTTTCCGATGGATATCAAGACAAACAAATTAATGTATTACTCGAGTTGTGAATAAGACAGAAAAGAAAACAAGAGTTTAGCTTAATTATATATACGACCGTTGGCGTCAATATTAAAGAGACGCAGTCAATCTTTAATGATTACAAATTTAAAATGGTGACCAAGAGTAACAATTGAAACACGATGATTAGTTGACTTAAGGAATACGATTATTAATATGTTTTTTTTTTAAAAATCTCCATGCCTTTCTGTTTTGAGAGGATAAAACGTTTTCCTTAAACCCCGTTATGCATCAGTTAAATCATCATTGTTTTGCTTTTCTTCATTATGATTTTTACAAAGAAGTACTCTTCGTCGTGAGTTTGTCAAACTCGGTTCAACATCGGAAGGTTAAAGGGTTTATGGAATCGGTTTATCCCCTTAAGCGCGCAATTGCTAGATTTATCCCATTTGGTCATATAGATATGAGTTCTTGTTTTTGGCTCATTTGAATACTCGGAAAGAGAGTCTATCCGTGAGTTGCACCCCTCCATAGGCCTGAGATTTATCCTAAGTTATAAAAAAAAAAAAAATTGGTTTGTGACTACTAGTATTAATACTTGATTTTCGATCATTAAGGTTTTGGAACTCGATAAAAGTGATCTTAAGTCGTGTTTACACATGAAAGGTTTTGAACCGTTAATTTTGGATTGAACACTTACGATATTATCTATGAAATAGGTGTACATGCATTTAACACAATATAAAAGAACGAAAGAAACAGGAGTACATACAGCTAAAACCAGCTGTGTTTCCCATTTTTTAGAATAATTGATTTGGCCGATGGCTATACGAGTTTTGGTCCGCATTAGTACTTTAGTAGCGATGTTTCTGTCTCATACTATTCACATGTTCAAAGCCTGTTCGTTGAGATCTAATCTCTTGCATTGTTCTTGTTCGTTTATTGAAAGACAATCTAGGCCATACTATTCTTTATAGAGTCGATTCTGACTAATCTTTAACCGGTACGTTGGTTTTACAGTACTTTTTTTTTGCTAAAGGGTTTATTAGACTATTAGATTGAAATTGATGTAAACCGGTTATAACCGTGTGTGGTAAACCGGAATCTAAACTCATATATGAGTGACGTTGTAACAACATTAATGAATAACAAGAAATGATTTTTTCTCAGAGCTCGTCTCTCTCATGAGCTCTAGCTCTCTAATATGGTAGCAGAGCTCATGAGAGAGACGAGCTCTGCTGTTTTACTCTGTGGAATCAGATTTGCTGTTAAAAGGTTTCACTGATGCTGATTGGAACTCTTGTACTGACTCGAGAAGATCTACCTCTGGTTTTTGATGTTCCTTGGTCCTTCCTTAATCTCTTGGAAGTCCAAGAAGCAACAAACCGTTTCACATTCCTCGGCTGAATCAGAGTATCGTGCAATGGAATTTGCTGTCCATGAGATTGCTTGGTTAGTCAAGTTACTTCGAGAGTTTCAGGTACATCAACCTCAGCCTGTAGCTTTCTATTGTGACTCTATTGCAGCGATTCACATTGCGAATAATGCAGTCTTTCATGAGAGGACTAAACATATAGAGAATGATTGTCACATAGTGCGTGATCGCATTGTTAGTGGATTGATCAAGACTCTTCATGTTAAAACAGCTATTCAGCTAGCTGACATTTTTACCAAGCCTTTGTATCCTGCTCCATTTCACTCTATTGTTGGCAAGATGTCTCTATTGTCTATATACTCGCCATCTTGAGGGGGGATATTAGACTATTAAATTGAAATTGATGTAAACCGGTTATAACCGTGTGTGGTAAACCGGAATCTAAACTCATATATGAGTGACGTTGTAACAACATTAATGAATAACAAGAAATGATTCGTTCTCAGAGCTCGTCTCTCTCATGAGCTCTAGCTCTCTAATAGGGTTTTACAGTACTTACTTATAAACTTTGATAATACTTTTTGTTTTTGTTACGTTAAAAAGTTATTACTGCGAGATCTAGAGAGTTTATAGTTAGATACACGTGGAATATAAGAGAAGGAGAAGCTAAAATACAGTAAAACCTCTATAAAACAATAATGTTGGGACTTTGAAATTTTATTATCTTATAGAGTTATTATTTTATCGATAAAACAATAATTATTATTTTATCGATAAAACAATAATTATTATTTTATAGAAATATTCTATCAAAAACAAGAAACTTTATAGAAATATATTTTTTCAGATTTTTTATTCAAATTTTCCTTATACTTTGTTATTTACATATTTCATGCTCAGAAGTTCAAAGTCTATAAGAAATTATGTCTACTGTTCTTAATGGTGAAGATGAAGTTGAAGATGATGAGGAAGGACATGTGCAAGTAGTTACACGTAAGGATGCAATTGTGGCTTCGAGAACTCTTCACAACTTTTGGCTGCATGTTGAGAATACACCTCCAGAAATTGTAGATGCAATAAGAAAAATTCGAGATGAGCTCCAACGGGAATCCAATTTTCAGAAAAGACAAACTACATTGGAGTCATATTTTACTAAATTGTCTTAGATTAATTTTATAATTATTATCTTAGCTTATTGTTGGGACTATATTTTTACATAGGAGTTTCAAAAATATTATTGTCTTATCATCTTATCGCATTATGCTATTTTTTACACTGGCCCGAGTTGGGACCGGAGAAAAATATTATCTTATAGTGTTTATTGTTTTATCGAGGTTCTACTGGAACAACAACTTCTTAGGTGTAAAAAAAAACATATAGCCCCATGAAAAAGTTGGGTCTTGGAATCATTGTAATAATATCTTAGACAATTGGTTCCAAAAGAATTTTATAATTTAACCAAAATGTATTAATATGTTTCATATTATATGAATTTATTGTTTAGCCGTAACCGGATTCAAATATAGTGATATGAATGAATGAGCATAAGTTTGTATACCACGACCACGAACAATTTTTTTTTTTTAATGGGATACTATTTTGTTATTGTTTATTTCTTAACCAAACAACTAATTAATTAGTTAAAAGAAGGATGGCCCAAAACATTAATAACAAACAACAATCGATGATTAAGAAAATCCGCATTTTCCCTCGAAAAAAATGCAAATTCTAAAAATCAGCGCTTGTCCCATATATATATACAAGCGGAGAAGCCATGGGAGCGAAATTTAAGGCAAAGAGAAGAAGTTTCCGCTGAAAAAAATGGTGGCTGTTCAGTTGTTTGGCTGGAAGCCATTGTTTCTACCTTCGCAAGCTTCGAGACTGAAACAATTCGCGTCTTTCAACAGGTTCTTAAATTCTTCTTTTACAGTTCCAATTTCTGAATTTCAATTTTTGTAATTTTGAGTTATGATGGAAGTTTTGAATCTGGGTTTAAGGGTTTTGGATTCGAATGGAATTTGGGGTTTTGTAAGATAAAATTTTCGTAAGTGATTAAAAACTGGAAAGTGTATTGATGTGTATCTCTGAAAATGGTGATTCGATTTTGCAGGAGATTGAGTTTACACTCTCTACCTTTAGGTGGGATCGAGTCTTGTAGATACAGAGGTAAGTTTCTGAAAAACCAAAAAAAATCCTATCATTTTCAATAACTGAGGCTTGCTACAGTAATGGATTTGGCACTTTCCTGAAATTAGAATTCTTTACAGTCTCTCACTATCATCTTCTTCCTCAATTTTATTGTGTCTCTCTTCACTGTAGGGATCTTCAAAGTCAAATCTCAAAAGACAGGAAACACAGATCCGTCTAGTTTCAACCTGGATTCATTGAATGCTATTAATTCCAAATTCCATAAGGTGATGTTTTGTATACACCTGTTCTTGGTTTTGAAGGATGGATTTTTTTAGCTCTTTGTGTGTTTACTGGTGTCACTGATGTGTATTGAATGCGTTTGCTTTTATATTTTTATCGATCTGAAGTTTGCCATATGCTTATGTTATATAATCTTCGTCTTAATCTGCAGAGTCTTCCATATAAACTAGTGGTAGGATGCATCCCACTGTACGCGGTGTTCAGAATAATGCAAAAGATGTTTCAAGAGCTTCCAGGTCTAATTCAGCACTCGGTGGGGGCTGGCTTGCCTTTCGCTTGTGCGTCGAACTCTCTGAGTAAACCAACTCCTCTCAAGTTGGACGTGTCCATTCCTTCTTTACATGATATCAAATGGAGTTTTGCAAGGTTCATTTACCTGTTCAATATCCAGCTTGAGAAGAACATTGCCACGTATGTCCTCAACCCGATTATTCTTTATCAAAATGCTAGTTTCTGTTCTTCTGTTTCTATGAGATAGTTGAAGGAATCACGCTTATAGTGATAAAACATGCCAATAGTGTAGATTTCTGACTAAAATCTTTCGAATGTAATATCAGATTCTCGCTGAGTGTTATTGTTAGTGTCACTGTGATGGAGATTAGCATTGTTCATATGTTGTTAAATTCTATTTTACTCTTTGTGGCTGTGACATCGCTTCTGATCAATTGCCGTGGCGGCTATCTTAGGTTCCTCGTGGTGCTTCTGGTAGCATGCCTATCGTTTGTTATAATTGGGGGATTCTTGTTTTTCCAGTTCAGGTAACTTTGCTTTATTTAATTTAGTTTCTCAAACCGTCTTAGTGTGGTTATATGATCGGTTTTCCTGAACCTCTATTAGTGGAAGATAAAACACAATTCTTGGTTTTAGCTTGAAGAAGAAATTACAGAAAAGAAAATGATCTGCTACCTGTATTATACGAGGAATCTTGTAAATGGATTTTAAACTTTAACCTAATGATGAACTTATTTATTTTTCCATTACATGCTGTCTTACTTATGAGTACAACTTCATATGCACTGCTATTGCCTTCTTGTTTAAAGGAAAGACACTCAACGCTTCGAAGACTGCCTCTGGGAGGCCTGGTCATGCCTCATTTCGTCTTCTTCTCATCTGAAGGTCTTAATTTGCTTCTTCACCGAGTTGAAAAGATTGTTCCAGATCAATTACAAATTACAAGCCTCACGATATTTCTATGGAGTTCTTGCAACTAAAAGCCTGTATTGTTTGCTGAAAACTGCAGCAAAAGACACGCCTTGAAAGAGTCATTGGATTTGTGCTAGCCATTTGGGGAATATTGTTTTACTCTCGGCTTTTAAGCACAATGACGGAACAATTTAGGGTAAGTTGTTGAGATAGGCACTACTTGTGGAAAAATGAATGTTCCTGATCGCTTTTTGTCTGGGCAGAGTAATATGCAAAAGCTGAGGGAAGGGGCACAGATGCAAGTCATAGAAGCTGATCATATCATCATTTGTGGAGTAAACAGTCATCTGCCTTTCATTCTAAAGCAACTGAACAGTTATCATGAGCATGCTGTCCGCTTAGGTACCGCCACAGCTAGGTAAATTGATCTCTCTCTCTCTCTATATGTCTTACAGTTTATTTCCCGGCTTATGTTGACTTAGCTGGTTACATTTTCTTTCAGGAGGCAGAGACTTCTGCTTATGTCTGATACTCCAAGGAAGCAGATGGACAAGATAGCTGAGGCGTACTCTAGAGATTTTAATCATATTGAGATCCTTACAAAGAGGTAAAGTGGTTGACATGCTTCCGATTATGTGGATGTGATTATGTGAACCCGAAAATGCTGCTTAGGTTCATGCATTCTAGTTAATGATCTTGTTGGTTTGGAATTTTATAGTGCTGATTTCATGCTTCTACCAGTGCAGTTGTAGTCTTAACATGACAAAATCATTTGAGAGGGCTGCTGCCTCTATGGCGCGTGCTATTATCATACTACCAACGAAAGGTGATCGGTAAGAAATTTTTTAAGTCTTGAAAATTATATGTTAAGAGGAAACTGTGATTGCAAACGGCTTTAAGGTAGAAATAGATCTTCGGTAGTAGAAGTGTGCTGTGTCGTAGCTTGTTCGTGTTGAGATTTTTTGCCATAATAAAGTACAATTGGATATGGGTATGAAGCTAGCTCAGCAGTTGGTGGTAGATTTTGAAGCTATATAGGATGCAGTTAAGAGAGTTATGTGTACTTGGGTGGTTTGGGACCTTTGGGATTGAGAGAGAGTTGAGTTCTCTAATATAAACTCTTTGGTTAATTCGTTTGGTTTGTACTTCTGTTCTTCATTATGCACTTTGGTTCTCAGTGTGAACAAAGAAACAATGAAAAAATCTGTTCTGAAACCTGTCAGAAAACTGGAATGCTAGTGGTAAAAAATGTGGAATCTCAGTGCTCTGTAAAACAGGAATCAGTTAAGTTGTAAATTGTTTCAGGTACGAAGTTGACACAGACGCGTTTCTTTCTGTATTAGCCCTACAACCTATACCAAATATGGGATCCATCCCAACCATTGTAGAGGTAAATTAGGTAACTAAAGATTGCGTGCAGTAGTGGTCTTCTGATTATAGTGCTGATCTTTTTCCTTTCTCGCTTTTCCTAAATGAATGCAGGTATCAACCCCTAGTACATATGATCTTCTCAAGTCCATTTCGGGACTGAAAGTGGAGCCGGTTGAAAATGTTACGTCCAAATTGTTTGTCCAATGCTCACGTCAAAAGGACCTGATAAAGATTTATAGGCACCTACTAAATTACTCAAGTACGGTTTGCTATCTTTTATCTTACATTACTGTTATCTGTCTGCAAATTTCATTTCATGTTTTCGTCTTAAGTTTGCTGTCAAGACTAACAAAACCAAGTCTACTCATTGCAGAAAATGTATTTAATCTTTGCAGCTTCCCCAATCTAGCTGGGATGAGGTATAGACAGTTAAGACTTGGCTTCCAGGAGGTAGGATTGAGACTATCTTGTGAATGAACATCTGTTTTCGTTCATCGAATCATCATTACCTTTTGTCATTGTAACTAATATCCATTTTCTACATGTATCCCTTTCAGGTTGTGGTATGTGGCCTTTTACGAGATGGGAAAGTAGATTTCCATCCAAACGATGACGAAAAGCTGATGGAAACCGACAAAGTATTGTTTATCGCGCCTCTCAATTGGAAGAAGAAGCAACTTCTGTACACAGACATGAAAATTGAAAACGTTACAGTAGATGAGCCTGACACTCGGAAGCAAGTGTTTGAGAAGAAAAGATCACGGCTAGCGAAGATTATAATGCGTCCTAGTAAATCCTTATCAAAGGTCTGTCTCACAAATGCTTGAGAACTATGATAATATTAGGCTTTTGAAACATTTCGAGACCTTCTGATTCTCATTTTTCTATGGTTTGGCACAGGGATCAGATTCCATCAAAGGACCAAAAGAATCTATACTTTTACTTGGTTGGCGTGGAGATGTTGTAGATATGGTTGAGGAGTTTGATAATTATCTTGGTCCAGGCAGTTCATTGGTAATGCTCATATACCATTTTCTCGGTCCGGTTAATTGGTTGGATCTCATGGGAAAGTTACTAATAATATTCTTTTACACACAGGAGATATTGTCTGATGTACCGTTAGAGGATAGAAGTAGAGTGAGCAATGGTAAAGGTTCAGGGAAAATCAAGAACATCCAAGTTTCACATAGGGTAATATTTCATTTTCTTTTTCAGTGGCATGAACAAGGATAGTTTCAAAGCCGTAAAGTGTCGATTGATGTCTTTTTAATCTTGTACAGGTTGGGAATCCTATGAACTATGAGACACTGAAAGAAACTATAATGCATATGCAAAGTAAATATAGGAAAGGTGAAGATATTCCTCTGACTATCCTTGTAATATCGGATCGAGACTGGCTTCTTGGAGGTAAGCATTTGCGATTAGTTCTTCTTCTTGATTCTGTCTTTGGCAATAATGATTTGACACAAAATTTGATGTGGTTTTAGATCCATCTAGAGCAGACAAACAATCCGCTTACTCTCTTCTCCTCGCTGAAAGCATCTGCAACAAGCTTGGCGTTAAGGTAATGGTACTGTACTGAGTTTTCATAGCAGCCTACTACATTGAGTTACTGAAACTTGAATTTTACTTTTGTTGTTTCTCTAGGTACAAAATCTAGCTGCGGAAATCGTCGACTCAAAACTCGGCAAGCAGGTAATTGAAAAGTCTTCTTCTTCTCTGATGTCTCTTCTTCACGGTTTAACTTGCTGAAACATAATACAAAAAACCATGTAGATAACTGGAATCAAGCCGTCCCTAACATTGATAGCAGCAGAGGAAGTGATGAGCCTTGTAACAGCACAAGGTTATACATTTCATCTTTTTTGTTTTTTGGTTTCTTCTTTATCTACCAACCACGATCCAAACAGTAATAACACCATTTTCTTTTCTTTATAATCCAGTCGCTGAAAACAGCGAATTGAACGAAGTGTGGAAGGACATTCTAAACGCAGAGGGTGATGAGATTTACGTAAAGGTCCAAAAAAAAAGAAAAACTCACTCTCTTCCTTCAAATCTTTTTGCCTCTTGAATCTAAAAATCTTGAGTTTGCTTGAGAGTCGCAGGACATAGAGTTGTACATGAAAAATGGTGAGAACCCTTCATTCACCGAGCTCTCAGAGCGAGCTTGGCTAAGGAGAGAAGTCGCAATAGGCTACATCAAAGGAGGCAAAAAGGTTTCTGTTTTATTATTACTCTGCAACAGACATTAAACCCATCTCTCTTCATTGACATACATAACTTGGTTTCTTTTTTATGTTGTAGATAATCAATCCTGTTCCAAAGACAGAACCTCTCTCCCTTGAAATGACAGACTCATTGATTGTTATATCAGAGCTTGAAGGAGACCAACCAATCACACTATGAAACTATACATATATATATTCTCATACTCCACACTGTAACAGTCTTTTTACACACAAATCGACATTGAGGGCAAAGGAGACTCACTCACACATGCAAATCAGCAAATAATCGGTGGTTTTGTACAAAGAAACAAATCCTTTTACATCGACGCCTCTTTTGTTCATTGGTTATATTTTGTTTTCCTTAATTAAATAAAAGCATATATGTCTCCAACCATAGTTACATGTAATTGTAAATGAAACCTTACTTCATCAAAACGGATACAGTTACTTGATGACGACGTAACCTAACACAATAAGAACAAATGTCAAGATCACACCTAAGAAACATACATTTTTTGGTAATTTTCCGCCATCTGTCCTCAATAATATAGCTTCATAGATCGGCAAACAATTCACCACCGCGAAGCTCGCCAGCATCAATTCAAGGACGAGTCTTTCTCTCCAAACGAGAAGATCATAAAGTCCCCAGACGAGGGCAACAAGGTTCACGATCGCGACCGTGGTCATGGGCAAGAACATGGATGAGGATGACCCGAAATCAAAGATCTCTTGCTCATACCTCTTGCTTTGTTCTTCATCATCGTTGGTTTTGCTGGTGATGTTGAAACCAAGCGTGGAGAGGTTTAAGATTTTGAGAGTGAAATCTATGAAGCTAAAGAGATATGAAGTGAGTCCTCTTATCAACCACATTCTTTGATCGTTCCACCATCTGCGATAACTTCCTCCTTCTAACACAAAATCAAGTAGATCTTGCGCATACGCACCAAAGAACAAGAACATGTAAAGCCAAAACCATGGACTCGATGCCTTGGGGAAGACGCTAACTCCATACAAGAGGGCAAGTTGGGGTAATACTCCATAGACGATGATAGGAATCGACCAAAAAGCCCAAAATGGATTTTGACAATACCCTACGCCCATTAGAAGTCCCACTGATTTGATCCCATAGGTAATGGGACTATACCTTGAAAAAGCCATCTCAAGAAGTCCAAGACACCATCTCTTTTGTTGGTTCACTACATCTATTAAACTTCTTGAGATATCTCCATAAAATGCAGCTCTCTTGGGACGGCAAAAAACCGATCTCCATCCTTCACAATGTAATTTGTATCCTGTGTAGTAGTCTTCCACTAAACTCCCATATCTGAATCCAATCTGAACAAGTTTGAATGCCAAAATGGAGTTATATAGTATAACACATTTAAAAAAAAAACATTTATTATTGTCGAAAGAAAAGTAAGATTGTTTTTTTTGTTTTTTCTTGAAACATAACAAATGGATACCAAGAGTAGATATGGAAATCAAGAGTAGATCAAAGTAATAACAAGGGTTGGTTTTATTATCTTACCTTAGATCCCCAATTGGTGTTGTGTTCGTAGATAAATCCTGCTACTTTGTGTGCTAATGCCAAAACATCTTGGTCCGTGATGCACTTAGCTATAATCTGATTAGGCCTAAGTTCGTCTATCTCAGGCAAAATGAAATTAGATGGAGGTCCGAAGAAAACTCGTCGGTTAAAAAAACATCCAGTTCCCACATAATTTGGGCCCCTAAGCCCATCAAGACCAATACCCATGCATTCGAAATTGCGTTTGTATTCACCCGCATATATATCATTCTTGTTTATTCCTTGAAATCTCTGAGGGAACTGCACATAACCTAAACCAGATTTGATTTTAGGATCTGTTAAATAGCACAAGGCACGTACTAGTGTTCCAGGATCGTTCGAGTACATGTCACAGTCTTGTGTTAGAATCACAGGTGCGTTTGTAAACACAGCCGATACTCGCAACTACATTAAAAGTTGTTAAATGTAAATTAACTAAACCAAAATGCTAATTAACTAAACCGAGATGTGTTAAGGTTTTTAAGTGGATACCAGAGTATTAAGAGCACCGGCTTTGAACTGATGTGGAGAAACTTTACTCTTCTCTCTTGAAACATAGATTAGGTTTGGCATCATAAATGTGTTAGTGTTGTCCATATCTGTCTCTCTGTTTTGTAGCACCTACATCAACATATGGCGAATTAATATTTGTAAGAAAATTTATTTTAAAAGGTATTTTTAATGTATAAAGCAGTGAGAAAGGAAATTTTGATTAATAAATACCTGAATAATAGTGGGATGGTCATGACGAGTGAATTTGTCGGTCCACAAATCGAATATACCACGAAATTGATCGCATGTGATAAACTCAGCCTTAACCTTTCCACTGTCGAGCACATGCTCTACTCTATTTTTCATATCTGTGTACATCACCTGTTCCGGCACATGTATCACCAAGTTGGAACATATCATAATCAAGCTATGAACAAATTGTTAACAATATCTTGGACCGGTCGCGTGAGGATCTATAATCATCAATTGTTACTCGTAACAATTTTTATTGACCTAAATCCGCGAATTTGTCGAAATTTAGGTTTGAGAACATATAAAACCTAAGTATAAGTGACTATTAAAACACTTATATAAGAAATACCTTCAGTTTTTGAGCTTCGTCACTCCAAGAATGTGACGTTGAAGAGAAGTAAACTTGAGGGGACCGATCTTGAATATTGTTCTTCTTGCAAAAGGGTAACCAATGCTTAGAGAACTTAGCAGCCTCAAGCAAAGCAAACAAAGTCAACGACGATCCTCCATCGTCCGATACATAGACCGAGATCTTATCCGACGGGTAATCATAAGCCATCACAGATAATGCTGTGTTAACCACCATCATCGGAGGCTCCTTGTATGGATCAGCCGTGCATATAAACACGTCCAGCTTCGGAAAATCCTCCTCCGGTTTGTCTACGTATCTCTCAGGGTATTCCGACCGGTGAACCGGGTGAAACCGGAGAGCAGTTGAGGTGGCCCACATGAAAGCAAGAACAACATCGGCGAGAAGAAGAAGAGATGTTATGAGAGTTTTGTCTGCTGTGAGAAGCGAATGTACATGGTGATACATGAGCGCTACGATGCCACACGTGTGAATAACGGCGTAAACTCTGTATGGAACGATGCGCCGGCACGGATGATACGTGTGGAGGGTTGTGCCGCCGACCGAATGCTTTATGTGAGACTCCATCGTTTTAGTCTTCTTTGTTTTTGTTTTCGAAAAGTTTTGGAGAAGATTGGTGTGAATAGAGCAAAACTCACCACTACTAGGCGAGAATCTTTGGAGAAAGAGTAAAGTTGAATTACACGACAAATATTGAGATTATAAAAATATATGCACATTAGTGAATATTATAGATTCATAGACTGAATGATTACATCTATATGCATTTTAAATATAGTGTATGATTCCACTATTATTATAGTATTTCTAAAATTCAAGATGTTTAAGCACTAAAATATACTCCACTCCTTACAACTTATGTCTCATAAATATAATTTTCATAATTTACATGGACTTTCCTATATGAATTATGTGTCATAACATGTTGTCTATGACTTTTTTTGCAGATTCTATCATTACGGCTCAAACTAGACTTTTGGTCTTGCGATCCGAGCCACCCGGGTTTAGCATCGGGCCTTGAACTCTACAGGTTCAAGAGACCATATATACAAAAGGAATATATTCAAACGTAGATCCATCCTTCTTACACTGTCTCTGGTCATGTGATAGATGAAAGTGAAAACTTACGATGCATAGGGAAGAACGACCGAATGGGGTACTGACACGCAGCACTTAATCCGCTGCTTCCAGACCGTACTCTAAGGCGAACAGAGATACGGAGAAGCATTTTCGGAAGCTAGCGGGATTGGTCCTGGGATTGGCCGACACCATTTCCTTTCGTTTTTTTTTATCTTCTTTCCGTTTTCCCGACGTATCACTCTGTGGTCTTTCTTTTATTGTTTTCTGGCTTGGAGGTTGTAGAAACATTGATCCCATCTTTGTGTTTTCAAGGCATATACGTCTTTGTTCGTTTTGTAGGAGACTTGCCTCGTGAGTTAAAAAAAACCCTAACATTATATAAAAATAAATTATGTTGAACGTTGTTTGGAATTGGAGTTTTACAGTTCAAGTTTGATATCACATCATGTTATTCTTTTTAAAGGTATTGCATGGTATTGACAGCGACAGACAAGAAAATAAAGTACAAATAATGAAGATTTCTGCATTGGCCGGTATGATATACGTGATACAGTCTTTAACACAAATAATGATGAGTATACATGATACAGGTGATCACTTAACGTGCTTTGATTCTTTATTGTTCGTGAGAGCTACAGCGTTTACAAATCACAGCGAGACAAAAACGAAAGAGTACAAACAATCACGTCGATGAAGAATATATAGATTTTTTATTCTTTATTGGTATGATAATAATAAGCATAATTTTGATACACAAAACGAAAGAGTACAACTTAACGTGGTTTGATTCTTTATATGTTGCATCGTTTTACATAATTAAGCATCAAGCACAATTCATTTGTGAAGAGTGTAGTTGGTGAATGTGGGTTTGGAAATCCATGCTTAAAATTTGTGAGTATTTTAAAGAAGAAATTATAGTGGAATTAAAGGCTAAATCCTTTTGTAAGTCGGAACACAAAAATTTGAGGAGTGAATTAAACCAGCTCTAACAGTTAAGTCAACTTGCGTTACCTGTAGAAAATTAACGAGATAATGGCATAATGCAGGATTTAGTTTTGTTTAGGAAATAATGCAAGATTTTGTTATATATAAATATTTGTGTCGGCCTTACTACATCCACTGAAACTTTTTTTTTGTTTTTTTTTGAACGACTCTACATCCACTGAAACATTACCTTCTTTTAAAAGCCGTCTGATTTTACATCATTCAACTACTCCATAAAACCAATAAGATTTCAGACACATAAGTTAACTAAGGCATTCTGCCAACTATCCCTTAATAATTTACGTTTGTACCTTTATATGTATATATGGTGATGCACATGCTAAAATATAATATGGGAATGTGAGACTCTTTAGTTTGAAATATCTGTATTTCTCATTTTCTTATAAAATGAAAGGGTGAAATAAGTCCTTTACCATACTTAAATAATTAATTCCAAAAGACTTTTTCTTCCCTTAATTAGATGTTGCAATGCTAATCTATTAGAAATAAAGCTGTCAAAATATCGTTTACACCATCATACTGTATACATACTTTAAACCAAAGAGAGTAGCAACACTTTTTAACCACTACAAGGTGGGCTAGTGGTAGGACGGATCTTAAGGTTGAGGAGGTAATTCCAATATATCTGGGTTCGATTCCCCCTTGCTACAAATTAATGGCCATCCGGACTAGCGTTAAATCACAAAAATATCGCAAAAATACGTGGACTGTCGTGGGCTTCGTGGGATTAGTCGGTTGACTTCGGTCGCCGAATCCTATGGTTATCAAAAAAAAAAAAAAAACACTTATTATTGGTGCACGTTTTCTAAGAGGGAATCAAGTACTGTGCACATTATTGGTGCAATCATACTTAAAAGCTGTCAATATGTGCACATTTGTATATTCCAAATAAAAGCTGTCAATATGTCGTTTACTTAAGCCAGATGTACTCCACCATCATACTATATACATACTTTTAATCAAGGAGAGTAGCAAAACATTTGATCTTTCTTATTTTTCTCTTTCTTTTTTTTCTCTAAAGGAAAACAAACACTTTCAATCTTGTAACTAGGAATTTGATCCAAAGATTCACATATCAACATGTCTTTACCAAGGTAAAGATTCTTATCTTCTGTCTTCACATTCGTGTGTATCAGTACTATCCATATTGTATAAAGTGATTAAATGTGTTTAGTTAGTAAGAATATCCCTAATACATTACTCTTTTTCTTTATACATTTTAGGAACTCTTTCATGAATGTTCTTAGTATGAAGGGAGGAGATGGAGAACACAGCTATTCTACCAATTCTGATAATCAGGTACTGCACGTAGTTATTCTTAATAATGATTTCAATTTTCATTAAATGATATTCATGGCTTATGTATCTTTGTGTATTTAATATATGGCAGAGAAATGTTATCTTTAAAACACGACCGGTGGTGGAAGAGAATATCAAAGAAATGTTACTTGAGTTAAATTTTCCAGAGTGCATCAAAGTGTCAGATTTAGGATGTTCTTCAGGAGAAAACACGTTTTTGGTCATGTTCCAAATCGTCAACACGATCACAGGTTCATACCAACAAACAAATCAAAACCTACCAGAAATTGATTATTGCCTAAACGATCTTCCAGAAAACGATTTCAATACAAATTTCAAGATGGTCCCTCCCTTTAATAAAGAGGTTAAAGGGAAGTGTTACATATCTGGAGTCCCAGGCTCTTTCTACTCAAGACTCTTTCCAGAAAAATCTCTTCATTTTCTTCATTCATCTTATAGTCTTATGTGGCTTTCTAAGGTTCCTCAAGGGCTTGAAGCTAACAAGAATAATGTATACATTAGAAGTGGATGTTCTCTAAGTGTGTGCCAGAGTTATATGAATCAGTTCCAAAATGATTTCAACTTGTTCTTAAGAATGCGTTCTGAAGAGATGTTGCCTAATGGACGCATGGTTCTCACGTTCATAGGAAAAAAGGATGTAGATCCTTTATGCAGAGACGGTTTCTACCTTTGGTCTTTGCTCTCTGATGCATTCATCGACCTAGTTTCCGAGGTAATTATCTACTGTATATATACTTGTTTTTTTTTTTTTTTTTTTTTTTTTTTTTTTTTTGACAACAGTATATATAACTGAACATATATAAATTACGTCGTTAATATCATGCATTAGATTTGAATCTGGATAGTGACTCAGTAACAATACTACAGTAGTACAAATTAAATCAGTAATATTTGTTTTTGTCTCATGTGATTTATAATATATTTTGTCATGTTATCGTTGACTAATAGTATTTAATCAGGATTTTGATTCGGTTTTGGTTCGAGTATGTTGGTTTAAATTTTCTTTTGATTTATGAATTAGAATATGTAAAATACAACATAATCTAATATGGATGATTTTATCTGATTTGTAGTTAAGTGTATTTTTAATCTTCAGATAAGTGTGGTTATATTTAGATTGGTTACAGTACCATCATGAATAAGAAAATAATTGAAAGGGAAATTGGCAAAAACATTGAAAGAAACTCTATTTTCACCAATTGTTTTAGTGAAAATATTTTTCTAATGGTTTAGAAGACTTGAACATAAAATAATTGTTGTAGATTTGATCATTTGATCTCTATATTTGTTAATTAGAAAAAATCGATTGATCTCTTTTCTACTTTTCATTTAATATTGTAACAAAAAAATGTTGTGAGGACAGGGTGTCGTGAAACAATCAGAAGTGGACTCATTCAACCTACCGTTCTACAATCCGAACGAAGGAGAGGTCGTAAAGAGTGTCCGAAATGAAGGCTCCTTTGAGATTAACAAGATAGAGACACATGAGCATGTTGTTTCGGACAAAACTGATGAAGAAGAAGATGGAGTCAAAGTTGGGAGAAAGATTGCAAATAGAGCAAGATCCATCACTGAACCAATGCTTATTGCTCATTTTGGTGATACCATTATCATTGACCACCTCTTCAACAAATTTGCACACCATGCAACCCAAAACTATAGCGCTTCCGGCCCAACAACGTTCATCATCATCGTGTCCTTGATCAAAAAATAAAATCAGTATTTGAAAAGAATTGAGTGTTTTTCTTTTTACAAACTCTACAAATTTTAGTGTCATTTTACTTAAATAAAATTTATCAAGGTTTTGATGTCACACGCATGACTTTTAATTGGTGTATAACATGAATAAAATTAGTAGTCGAACAACCTACTGACTAATACTTAAAGACATTTTGGTTTTTGTAATTATTGGTGGGTATAAACATCAATTAGTAGTTTATGCGATTATCTTCCCTCTTGTTTACTTTGGTCCTGTGGACCATCCTAAACGGGATTCACTGTGCACTACAACGGCCCGAACAATTTGATGAGCAAGGTCACTTGATTTTAGCCTCTCGTTACTTGTCGGCGTGGCCAAGGTTTGAATTGTCTCTTGATTCATAATGACGCGCCATATTATGTTCATGATTATAATGAGATACTTTTTTTTTTGTTTGTTAAAGTTGAAACGTGATATCTCAGCAGTAATTTAAAATTTCTTTGTTGACCATAATCTTATATATAATTAGGGAGTTGCTCTCTCCATTTGAGAGTGTCCACATCAGCACAAAAACATTAAATTGTATTTAAAATATTTAATAAATATATGACTATTCATATTTCTTTACATTTATTCATATTTAATAAAAATATACAAATAAATTGATTAATTAATAGAAAGTATGTGATAATTTGATGTTAAAGTTATCAAAAAGTTGGAATATAAAATAGAGATGGAGTAAAGAAATATTCAACTTCAAATAGTATATATTTACTTTATTATTCAAAGGTTTATCCTACTTAAAAATGTTAGAATGTGTTTACAAGTTAAAAAGTTGAATATAAATTAATTAAGACAATAGAAAGCTAATGAAACATTAGAGTTAGAGTTTGTTTTTCTAAACAAATAGAAATAGAGTTTTATATGTAAATTTAATTGTAGTGAAAAACAAGAATATGTTTACAAATTTTAACCTTCAGTCAAATGCATATACATATTTATAAATTTTAACCTTCAATCAAATACATATACATGTTTACCGTCTAATAGAAGTAAACATAATACTTATAACATGATAAAATTTTAGAAATAGAAAACTCAAGATAAAGCAGAGTGTTAATATCCTAATAAATTAAAATAAAAACAAATTATTCATATTTTTTAGTGTTAGTGGTTTAGTTAACTCAAAACATAACAAAAACATGAAAGTTAACACAAAACCATCATAATTCAAATCACGAGTATAAATAAAATTAAACAGAAAAACTATCGTAAACAACCCCGCGCTTGCGCGGGGCTTCAAACCTAGTTCTCTTAATTGTAATGTTACCTTTTTACGTTCTTCATTTCATTTTTAGTTTCCTTAGGGAGAAACGGCAAGTTTAAATAACTTCCATAGATACTAATATTCACATTTATACTGAAAATATACAATTTCCTAAAACATTGAATATGTACACGAGGAGCGTTCTAGAAAACCCATTTAAAACATCCTCTTCACTTAACGAATCAATCCCACATTATATAACTTTGGGCATTATAGAAATTTGTTCAAATCAAACGTAATAGTTCATCAATGGCATCACCGTCACAAAGGTATTTCGCCGTCTTAGCTCTTTTCGCAGTCTCACTAAAGTTTTGTTATTGCCAAAATATCACAGTAGATGACAACGGCTGGGGCTACGCCGGTGTTACTTGGTATGGTGAAGCTGGCGGCGCCGGTAGCACCGGTACGTAAATTACCATTGATTAATTTGTTACATCATATAGTATATATATATATATATTTATGTGTGTGTAACAAATAATTTGATATCTGATTCGTTATGTGATTTATAGGATATGGTTCGGCAGTAGCCAATCCACCGTTTTACGCGATGATTTCAGCCGGAGGACCTTCACTTTTCAATAGTGGAAAAGGATGTGGAACATGTTATCAGGTTCGTTCTCAAAGACTTGCGTAGCGTGCAAGTCTACTCAAAGTCTCATAGGGTTACACATATTTTATTTTTCTCAACCATATTGTAAATCTGTATATAAGTTTGTTTATATTAGATTGTGTGCTACGAGAATCGAGCCTGTTCGAGGAGACCAATAAGGGTGACGATAACCGACGAGTGCCCTGGTGGTCCTTGCGCCTCCGAATCGGCCCACTTTGACCTTAGCGGCAAAGCCATTGGTGCCTTGGCCAGACCTGGCCAAGCCGATCGACTTCGAGCCGCTGGTGTTCTACGTGTTATTTACAGACGGTAACGTCTACAACAGACTAATTTCTTTCAGTTTTAATTTAAGATCTCAATTAAATTAAAATCCGACATACTGTATTTTGATTTTTTTTTCTTTGTATTTTCAGTACCCCGTGTAGATATAGAAGGACTGCTATAGCTTTTCATATTGACGCCGGATCAAACCCGTACTACATTGCATTTGCTGTGGAATACGAAAACGGTGACGGAGATTTTGCCTCCATTGAGATTCAACCGGCGGGCGGAAAATACATCCCCATGCAAGAAATGAGGTCATCTGTGTGGAACGTAAATTACGGCAGTCCTCTACGAGGTCCGTTCAATATTAGACTAACTTCTGGCGAGTCTCGGAAGACAAACGTTGCTCAGGATGTTATCCCGGAGAATTGGAGGCCCGATCAGACTTACCGGTCGATCGTCAACTTTTAGAGTTATTATTAAATTTTATTTTTTTGGGGGATGGGGAGAGAGAGGCTTATTTCATCATTTTCCCTATAGTCAGAATATTATAGAGAAAGCGCATCGATATGAAATAAAAAGATGCGCACTTATCGTTATGAGGCCATAATAGTTGCTCGCTTATTTTTATTAGAGAGGGCTTTGCAGTTAGGTTTCATATGTCACTACACGTACAGTTGCCTTTAGAGTTTCTTTGTTTGATTGAATAAAATTATAGAGCCAATGTGGGAAGACAACAAAACGTAAACGAAACTGCATTACCACAAACTTTTACCCTAGGAGTATTTTAAAGAGTTCACGAAGAAGATGCACAAAAAAAAAAAAAAAAAAAAAAAAAAAAGATGCACAAAAAAAGTTGACGACAATTGGTATATTATGTTGATTATTGAGCGTAACAGGCTTAACATAGTACGTAACAGATTCAATTGGGCCTGCGACAGTTGGTGCGGATCTGACCATTGGATCCGGTTAGGGGGCTGATGTCTCCCATCTTAATCATAGCTCTTACGAAGTCACGGTAGAAACGGTTGAGGCTGCGGCTGTATGCTATGACGAGCGAGTCCGTGGAGCCACCGTTGAAGAGGACTTGATCTGACGTAAGCAGACCCATGTGGTTGAGAAGCCGCTTGTAGTAGCTGACGTCAAATCTTCCAGGAGAGCGGGAGTCAAGAACGGCTGCATTGTTGTCGCCAGAGCCAGTGGCTGCAGGGCAGCTCCTCTGCGTAGACAAGGCGAAAGAGCGGTCGATGTTGCTTCCGTTGTAGATGCGATTCCTAAAGGTGACACATCTGGCTTGTCCAATAGTGTGTGCCCCGGAGAGTGCGACCATGTCACGTGAGGACAGACCTTGGGCTCTGAAACGGTTGATGAGGTTTGTGAGTGTAGAGGTCGGAGGAGGAATGACGCCGGAGTTAGCAGCCGATAAGCTCGCTGTAGTAGAGTCTCGTCTTCCAAGTTTCACGCTCCACCTTGGTCCTCCTAGCTGCTTAGTTGTAAAGGTATAAGTAAGATCATATATCGTATAATACATTTGCATGCGCCAAAATGTATATAAACACAAACAATAGAGAATGTATATAAATAAGATTTGTTTAAGTAACAAACATGTATGAAACTAATAATCATACATTTTTGGTTCAATGTTTTAAGTTTAAATATGTCAACTCTATTTTTTTTCCAAAAAAATGTTTTTATGTATGTTTTTTTATTATTTGCTATCTTTCGTTAATTTTTTTTTATAAAGATCTTCGGTATAGACTTGTAATCAAAGAAATAAGATAGATGTGCTAACGAGGAGGACAGAGTCACGAGCAGTGATAGCGAGAATGTCTGCGCACGAGACAACGCCTGGACAAAGTCTCTCAACCCTAGACTTTATTCTATCGATCACTTCGAATCCTCTCACAGAGTTATTGTTGGGTCCTGCGGTTTTCTCTCCCACAAAAGAGGAAGTGTCATCCAATAATATGGATCCGTCACAACCCTGTATAAACATTGTAGACAAATGCTTTTTTAACATTTTCTAGATTGTAGGAGTAATTCATGGGAACATGCAAAACAAGCTTCGTTTTTTCTTCATTCAAAGAATTTTATGAAAAAATAAAATAAAATAAAAGACATACGTTGACGAAGCAATCATGGAAGAACAAACGGAGGAGAGAAGCAGCCATGCGACGCTCTCGGGCCACAGCTCGCTGCACCACCCGGCGCACCGCAGGGAACAGTGAGGGACAGCTTTCCGAGTAGAAGTCACTGCTCAGCTGGGCTTGGCTGTAACAACAGCTCGAAAGGATCATCATCAACACCACAATTAACATACTTGTGTGTGTATTACACTCCATTCTCTTTGCTTCTATTTTTACTTGTTGTAGGAGTTGTGGGTCAACAAAGCATTCAAGAGACGAGGGCTTTATAGAGAGTTACTTACTTACACGCAGGTAAGTTTTTTTCTTGTTTTAAGGAGAAAAATGTTACCCACTCTTTTTTCATTTTCTAACAAATACAACTCATCTATATAGTACAGTAATATTGGGTCATGATCATAATTACGCCACCTCCACTAAATTTATATTTTCATTTCCCCCTTTTCAGCACATTTTCCTTTTCTCTTTGTTGTTGTTGTTTTTTACCAATCAAATATATATACAAGTTAAAGTTCACAATATATCATGTTTTAATTTGTACATACTTTATGAAGCTAATTAAATATAACATACAAATTCACATGATGGGTTTTGTTTTGTTATAACTCCACATCAAAAATAAAATGAAATCTAAGATAATATATATACATATATATATATATATATATATGTTAATCTGCACACTGATTTTAAGCTGAAAAATCCATAAACTTTCACATGATATCAGAGTACAAACATGTACATTATTTCATCCAACCCGATCCGAACCAATCGGGACCAAAGTTTTACATGTCAATTTTTATATAACTCAAATGATTGCAAGAGGATAAGTTAGGCAGAAGTAGCTGACCATCCATGCATGCAACCACGACATTCTCAGCCCTTCAACTAGTTGAAACTCAAAAGGCCCTATGATTAGTTCATTCAGAACACAAATCTTGTTCATAACTACGAACTTTACGCCCGCAAACTTTATGTTATTATACTCACCAAACCTAGAAAACATAAGATGCCTAACACCACATCTAGATTAACCGTTAAGAATACAGTTAAGTTCAACCTAACGATGTTTTTTCTTTGACTTTAAATCTTAGAATCTATAAGCTTTATCGTTGGAGGTTGCTATACCCACCAAAGGAAGAGAAAAAAGAAACTGGTTATAGTAACATGTTGTTTGAAAAAATCATCAGATGATAAAGTAGAACGCTAGAAAGTATAAACCAATAAGATCGATTATCATTGGTATTACCGTTACATACTAACATACCACAGCTTAAATCAAAGGATAAACACCTTAAATTTCTGACTAAGTGTACAAGGGAGGAATTGGGGGTTTGGCTTGCTGGATAGTAAGTTGAATTTTCAACGATTGGGGAGATAAACTATTTTTTCTTGTTTTGTTATTTAAGAAAAAAAGGAAGAAGAAGAAAGTGATAGTGAGAGGTTAACAAACAGACTATTATTAGGTGGAGTGGTCTATCAGACTATCACTTACTGTGCCTCTACATTCTCTTCCTCTCCCAATTACCTAATTCAAACGTATAAGAAAAATACATACAGTATTTTAATTATTTCACGTGGATAGTTGAAAAATGGAGTCACAAACATTGAATTTTCCGTAAGGAAGTTTTGTTTTTCGATCGTTTAAAGTGAGGTCACAAATATTACATTTTGTTACTTTCATTTATTTTATGTAGTAATTTAAGTGACATAATTTTAATTAAATCTTAAACAACCTTAATCTGTTTGCTCAAAAAAAAAACAACCTTAATCCTTTCTCTTTAATCTCGACACGTTATCAAGCTAAGACTAATCAGCACAATCCCTATAAACCTACATCTATCTCTTCAATCATGTTAAAGTCATATAACTAACAAATAAATTCCAATTCCCATCGTATGGTAAAATCATTATTCAACATAACAATAATGCTAGGGCCTACATATGGCATATCAGTTATGTACAACAAGCACAAGGCTGCTAATATGTGCCTATATGCGGGCAAGAGAAAACTTCCAAGAATCAAAAGGGGTTTCGGCTCGTGCCTACCGTTGTTAGAAGATCACTTCAATCCTCCTGATTAAACTCATCTTTAATCGTATATTTAAGTCAAAAAAATTCCTATAGCTTAAATAAAACATTAGGCCTAAGATGTCTATATATATGTATATATTTTTCGTCAAAATAAATATCATATATCAAATATGAAAGCAAATGAAAAACAAGTAGATTTATGCTCATATAATTTTTATTGAGATAGAAAAGAATTAGCTCATGAATGAGTTTTCTAGTGAAAATGTGAAGAGAAAAGGAATAAACTTTGAGTTGTTATCAAGAGCTACACTGGATTTTCATAGATCTTATAAAAAGTTGAAGGAAGCTATTCGCAGACACAGCCAAAGTTAGGTTTTACATCAAGCTCATAAGCTCATAAGTCTAGAGAAACCTATTTCCATGGATCATGAAAACATATGTTGGGTCATAGAGTTAGGCTCTAAATAAACTATAGTTTAGATAGTCATCATATACAACCATAGAGGAAGATACAACATTGTAGAATAAAAGGTTCCATTAGGAGGTCCTCTTTCTGTTAAACTAGCCACAACATTATTGTGTTGAAAAATATGGCCATTTGTTAAGTAAACGGCTGGTTAATTTGTGCTTATTGGGCCAACGATGGGCTTCTTCACCAGGTTATAGTTTAAGCCCAATATGCTTAATATCTTCTTTGGTAAGCTTCAGTTTTCCTTAGTAATGAACGAAATAGAAGATCGACGTCTCTGATCAGTGATCAGCCAAAGCTTTCTTCATCTTCAACCTCCAATTTCTTCTGTTCGACCAGTGCATCATTAAAAAGATCTTTAAAACGGTTTTGAGGACGTATATTGGTCGTACCAGAGAGTGATGGCGTCGTCTTCGTCCCACAAGTCCGCCTTTGACTTTCTCATGTCGAATGCTCACGCAGCAGTCTCCAAGAAGAAGACTCCGCCACAGACCTCTAATTGTTCTCGCTCGCCGTCGAAAAAAATGAAGGTCGAGGAAGAATCCGTAAACCCTGAATCGCCCAAAACCCTTGCTCCTATCTCTAGGGTTTCCAAACTTAAGAGCAAAATCGTATTGCTGAAGAAGAAACCAAGTGATTTCGATCCGGAGGAAGTGTCCTGTTGGGAGAAAGGAGAGAGAGTTCCGTTCATGTTTCTCTCTTTAGCTTTTGATCTGATCTCAGTCGAAACTGGCCGGATTGTGATCACTGATATTCTTTGTAACATGTTGAGAACCGTTATCGCCACTACACCTGAAGATTTGCTTCCTACGGTTTATCTTGCTGCGAATGAGATCGCTCCTGCTCATGAAGGTGTGAAATTAGGTATTGGCAAAGGTTCCTCCATTATCAAAGCAATCTCCGAAGCTTTTGGTAGAACTGAGGCACAGGTTGAGCAGCAGAATAAGGTAATGCTGAATCATTTTTTTATGTGCTTTCTTTAAGGTTTTTCTGAAGAAGAATGTCTAAGTTCTTGAAAATGTGATAACGGAACTAGATCAAGTGCCCGTAGAACAATTATAAAATGCAAAAAATTAGTTTTAGTATATTGCATTTTGTTTTTCTTGGTTGAATTTTTAGGCTAGTTGTACATAGTGGAATTACATTTCAAAAACGTAGAAGTGTAAATTTATATACCATTCGTCATCTTTTTTTTTATTCTTGACGATTTATAGAAACTGGGAGACTTGGGGCTTGTAGCAAGAGGAAGCCGCTCGACGCAGACTATGATTTTCATGCCTAAACCATTGACTGTTGTTAAGGTTGCTGATACACTTAAGAAAATCGCAAAGGTATTTTAATAGCCTTTTTATTGTTTTTGGCTTTTGAATGCTTGAGTTATTTTGGATTAGTTGGACTAATTGCGTGTTAATTATTGAAGGAATCTGGAAACGGTAGTAAGGACAAGAAGAAGGATATAATGAAGTCACTTCTTGTGGCAACAACAGATTGTGAACCTCTTTACTTAACACGTTTACTTCAGGTAATTACGTTGTCACAAGATTTGATTTTTATTTTCTGCTCATTCTCTTGGGTCGTTCTGATTTTACAATGCCAGGGGAATTTGCGGTTAGGTTTCTCACGTCAGACTGTTTTAGCTGCCTTGGGACAAGCTGCTGTTTATAATGAACAACACTCTAAGCCACCTCCAAATACCAAGAACCCTTTAGATGAGGTTTGCTTCTTGTTTCTTTTTCAATTTTGTATCAAGATACTTGTGGCTTTAGGCTCTCTATGTAGTATTCTTCTATAGACATCACAATATATCTTTGGTGATGAATGGTATACGTACTTGTTCATGTTTTCACGTTTTAAAAAGTGATTCCGCTAGTATATTATTAACGTGTTAAAAAATGCTTACTAGGAAAACACAAGATGTGATTAATCTACTAAAACTAGCTTTTTCAGCGTTTTAAAATTATATAGTTCACATAGCAATTGTAACTTTACAACGTTTTCATGGATTCATCCTTATGCTCCGTTCTTGTAGGCTGCGAAGATTGTGAAAGAAGTATTCTCTGTGCTTCCTGTTTATGACATTATTGTTGATGCTCTTCTAACTAGTGGTGTGTGGAATCTTCCTAATACTTGTAAATTCACACCGGGTGTTCCAGTTAGACCCATGCTCGCAAATCCAACTACAAGTATAGGTGTGATACTTAATAAACTTGGGGACACTGCTTTCACATGCGAATACAAATATGATGGTGAACGTGCGCAGGTGGTGATATACTGTTGTCTTACTTACAGAAACCAATGAATGCTATTTCATAAAATATAGTTTATATAATTATATGCATGCTGTCATGCTTTTACTGCAGATACATTATATGGAAGATGGTACATTGGAGATATTCAGTAAAAGTTCTGAAAGATACACTGAGAAGTACCCCGACGTGGTTCTTGCGTTATCAAGGTACTATAAAGTTTCTTGTGTTTTTACTTGTTGGAATCATTAGAGCCAAATCTTTTTTAAAGAATTTACTCTAACTTCTCTATTGCAGATTAAAGAAGCCCTCTGTGACATCTTATATTCTTGACTGCGAGATTGTTGCCTTCGACAGAGAGAAAAAGAAACTTCTTCCGTTCCAGGTAACTCCATATCGAACATCAAAGGCTCTTTATATTCAAGTATGGTTGCAGTCTTCAAATCTTTATATGTTTCTTGTTCTTTTTGTTTTCAGAAATTGAGCACTCGAGCTCATAAAAATGTGAATATCAATGATATCAAAGTTGGGGTATGCATCTTTGGTTTTGACATGTTATATCTAAATGGCCAACTACTTATCCAGGAGAATCTGAATACCCGCCGAGAGGTAAGCCTCATAATGTATATATTAGTTAAATTTTATTTTTAAAAAGTGTGATTTTCTTTGATATGTAATCATTTTGTTTGTAACTTTGCTTCTACCAGAGGCTATACGACTCATTTGAGGAAGATCCTGGGATTTTCCAGTTTGCAACTACTCTAACATCCAGCGATGTCGGTGAAATACAAGAGTTTCTTGAAGCTTCTGTTAACGATGGGTAATATAATATGACATTGACCTGATCTTGCCTTGTTATCTCTATGCTGTTTCCAGTTCTTTAATTCATGTAATGTTATTTTTGCAGCTGTGAAGGTTTAATGATTAAAACGTTGTACTCGGATGCAACATATGAGCCTGCTAAGCGATCACATAACTGGCTAAAACTTAAGAAAGACTATATGGATAGGCAATATACTTACTCTTTTAAACAAATTTGTTTTAAAAAATTGTAGATGAAAGAGTCATTTACTAACGGAGTGTTATTGCGTGTATATGTAGCAGCTTTGGGGATTCATTGGATCTTGTACCAATTGCTGCTTCCTACGGAGAAGGGAATCGTGCAGGTGAAGAAACCATTTCAAAATATGATGTAGATGATATATTATCACTTTGATGTTGTTATCGAAAGCTAATGTTTGCTTTCGTTACTAGGTGTCTTTGGTTCATTTTTAGTAGCGTGCTATGACGACGTTGAGGAAGAATTGCAAAGCATTGCTAATATTGGTTAGTCTTATTTATGCACCTTCTTGGCATTTCATTTTCTTGGTCATGTTTCATATATGCATTTGGTTTTTATGGATTGTGGTTACTAGGTACTGGATTTTCTGAATCCAAAAAGGAAGATAATGGATCTTCTGATTTGAACCTTGAAGAGTTGTCTCTCAGTCTTCGCTCTAAAATAATTGCTACTCCAAAAGTAAGATTTTTAATGCGAAATCATCATCATCATATATATGAGTTTTTTTTGTTGATTTGTAATTATTCAAAATAATAATAATAATCCAGGAGAACTACCGAGTTGATGGTCTCAAAAAAGAACCAGATGTTTGGTTCGAGCCGACCGAGGTAGGAATATATATGCTTGCCTTGTACCAATATTATGGGTCGTAGTGTGTTTCATGCAAAGATAAAATAATCTATGGTTTTGGTTGAAGGTGTGGGAAGTGAAAGCAGCTGACTTGACAATCAGCTCCGTGTATCGTGCAGCTTACGGAATTGCGTGCCCTAATAAGGTTCAACATTGTCTCTGACATTCTTTTTTGGTTTTGATTCTTAGAAGCATGCAAAGTAAAGTTGAGCTATTTCATTCGTTTTTGTTTTTGGTTATGAAGGGAATATCTCTACGTTTTCCACGTGTCCTCCGTGTACGGAAAGACAAGAAGCCAGAGGAAGCGACAACATCAGTCCAGGTGACCTCTCCATCTGTCTCACCCTAAAACACAACTAGACTAGGCTGGTTACTAATATTTTTTTTGTTTTCAAACATTTTCAGATAGCTGAAATGTATCAAGCTCAGAAAAACATTCAACTAAGCAATGAAGCCAACAGTGACGATTATTAAACAAGAGAATCTTTCCTCGGATGTTCTACAGATATAGCTCCTTTAGATAGATAGCTAATGATGTACACATTATGTGTGTTATGTTTAAAACTGTTTTTAGATCAAGTTAATGAGAGGATTCATTGCCAGTTTACACCCATTTTTTGAAGGTAATGAATGATATTCACAAAAAGGATAATGATTCATGGGCACATGTTCATGCTTTTTGGCAGGAACTTCACTGTTATTAATAGTTGCTGACAAAATTTGTTACAAAATATGCCACATGAACTTGTTGTTTATTGATGAAAAGGAAGATGGTGACCAATCACATAGAATCCAAGTTGAGAAAAACAAAAGAGGCAAATTTGCACACCATGCGATCCAACATTATGATTTATGGCTAGTGGCTCTACTCTCTAGTCTTTCTTACCTACCAATCAAAGGACTACGACTTCACATTTAGTAGAAGCTCTTGGGATTCTTTGAAGTCTTCTGCGAAGAGACTTTTCCCTTGTTGAAAGATCCGACAAACGGAGAGTAAGTTTCTTGAGGACTGCTGAATTCTTTAACAAGTACCTCACTAGCTTCATTTCTGCAGCATGTCCCAAGATTGGGACTTGGATATCAACAAACTCGAGCGATGATATCAAGCACTCAGGCACAGATGTAAAACTGACTTGCTCCATTTCCTCGTAACTACATTCCCACATCTGAGGCAAAAAGAAAAGAAGAAGAAGAGGATTATAAACACAAGCAAAGAAAATACACACATAATCTTCATATAGAGATGAAAGAAAAGGGTTTTAGCAGATGATTACCAAGATGAGGGATTTCAAGTTGGGGCAGATCTCAAGAAAGGTTGGTAACCATTTCAAATAAGATACTCTAAGACCGATATACAGGCGGGACATGTAACCAAATTGAGGCAGTGGTTCCAATTCCAAGAATTCACAGAGGAGCTGGAAATGGAATCAGATCAAGAACAAACAATGAGCAAGTCAGAAACTTTTGACAAGAAATTGTGCAATGTTTAATACCGGCATTGACTCATTATTATATACCTCGAAAGTGTCTGCACATAGAGTCATATCCCCGACCTTGGAAATCCCGAGTAGGAAACTGCGGATCCCACTTGTCTTGCTAAATTCATCAACATCCACCGAGCCAAAGGTGATGGTAATATCTAACCTGGCTTTGGGCGCCAAATTGTTTACTATGAAGCTTTCTGACGCAAGATCATTGATGCTCAAACGAGATAGAAGAGGAGCATCAACCACAACCCCGGGTACTGCAGGATTTGAGAGGTAAGAGTAATCTCGTACTAAAGTGAACCTCTTTAGTGACTGAGAACGCACCCGGAAGACATTCGCATCCCCCAAAAGATCATCAACCTCTAACTCTTCCAGGACAGGGCAGGAAGACACGAGTTTCTCGAAAGTGGACTCATTGGGACACAAAACACGATCTAAGCGCATTGTCTTGAGACAAGGGAAAGAAACAAAGTGGGCACTAGCATCATCCAAGGCAACATCGAAGAGCCTTAAGCAGACCAGAGTCTCACACTGATAAAACTTCAAGGGCTTCATGTAAAAGTGAAACTTTTCAGACAAATGAAGATCTAAATGTTGGATCTTTCGCTTTGTAGCAGCATCAAGCCATGACGTGAGAAAAGAGACGTCTTTTACACTGTAGAGTCTGTCCTCAGTCTCGGCGAAGACACTTAAACTGAGTTTGTGTATGCATGAAGCTCTACTGAAATCGAAAATCCTGTCACCAAAACTCACAAAGGAGTTTGAATCTGTGAAGTTGAAGGACCAGAGTTCCAAACTAGGAACCCAAAGCCAGAGATGCCTCCATCTCTTGGATAAAACACTCGTCTTCACAGATTCCTTTGTGTAAAGATGATAAAGTATTTGACATATCAAAGCATCTGGTAATTGGCTTAGCCTATCTTCTTTCAGTGTCGAACTCAACCCTTTGGAACGAGCCTGGCTCGCTTTCCCTTTACCATCCATATATGTAGAAAGCTTTTCGAAACACACAGAGACTCTAATTGAAATCGCAAAGTTCCAGAGAGACGATTGTGAGTGTGACCAACCTAAACAAACATCAACGGGATACCAAATCAATCGATAACAATCCTCCTATTTCAGCTCAAACACAGACTAGATAGATAAACGAAACAATTACGATTAGCAAAGAGAATGACTGAAGAAAGGTTTAAGAGAATGGATATGGAGGAAAGACGAACCTCAAATGCGAGCGAGAGTGACGACGAATCCGTAAGGTCGAAATTGCAGACTGATTTGGTAACAGTAACACTGCACTCTCTCTCTCGAGTGCAAGAGATGGTGTTTCATTTTGGGCCTATTGGGCTTAATTATAGCCAGCCCATCAATCTGAGGATTGTGTGGATCCAGTTTTTTTTTTTTTGTGAGACACCGGAAGCTCCCAATTTTATTTAAAAAAAAAAAGTTTACATTTGCCGCGACCTCGAGTCTCCACGTCATCACACAAAATTGAATCAAATGAATGTAAACTTAATGGTAACGTATCTTCGCATTCACTAGAGCATCTTCGGATTCTAAGAAGGTCTCTGAGTGTCGTTTCTCTTGTTGAACGCTCCGCCAAACGGAGAGTAAGTTTCTTGAGGATTGCTGAATTCTCTAACAAGTACTTCACTAGCTTCATTTCTACAGCATGTCCCGAGATTCGAGCTTTGATATAAACAAACTCGAGAGATGATAGCAAGCACTCAGGCACAGATGAGAAACTGACATGATTCGTCTCTTCGGACTCATTTCCCCGTCATGACTATCCCACGTCTAAGGCAACAAAAAAAATAACAGAGGATTATAAACACACACATACAAAAACAACATAATCATTCAGGGCTTTAGCAGATCATTATTACCAAGATGAGGGATTTCATGTTGCGGCAGGTTTCAAGAAAGGTTGGTAACCATTTGAAATAAGATACTCTAAGATCAACACCCAACCGGGACATGTAACCAAATCGAGGCAGTGGCTCGAATTCCGAGTAATCGCAGAGGAGCTGGAATCAGATGAAGAACAAACAATGTGCAAGTCAGAAACTTTTGACAAGAAAATGTGCATGTCCGTCCAATAAACACTCATTATTATATACCTGGAAAGTGTATGCACATAGAGTCATATCCCCGACCTTTGAAACCCCGAGTAGAAAGCTGCGGATCCTACTTCTCTTGACAATTTCATCAATATACCCCGAGCCAAAGGTGATGGTAATGCCTAACTTGGCTCTGGGCACCAAATTGTCTACAAGAAAGCTTTCTGACGCAAGATCATTGATGCTCAAACAAGATAGAAGAGGAGCATCAACCACAACTCCTGGTACTAGAGAATTTGAGGAGTAAGAGTGATCTCGTATCAAAGTTAGCCTCTTTAGTGACTGAGAACGCACCCGGAAGACTTTTGCATCCTCCCCAAGAATATGAACCTCAAACTCTTCCAGTACAGGGCAGGACGAGACGAGCTTCTCGAAAGTGGCCTCACTGGGATAAACATTCTCGAGTAAACGCATTTTCTTGAGGCAAGGGAAGGAAACAAAGTGGGCACTGGCATCATCCAAGGCTACATCAGAGAGCTTTAAGCAGACCAGAGTCTCACAATGATAAAAATTCAAGGGCTTCATGTAAAAGTGAGACTTGTCACACTCACACAGGTGAAGATCTAGATGTTGGATCTTACGCTTAGCAGCAGCATCAAGCCATGACGTGAGAAAAGAGACGTCTTTTACGCTGTAGAGTCTGTCCTCAGTTTCGTTGAATAAACGTAATCTGAGTTTGTGAATGCGTGAAGCTCTAGTGGAATCGAAAATCCTGTCACCAACACTCACAAAGGCTTTGAAATCTGTGAATCTTAGAGAAGTGAGATCGAAACTAGAAACCCAAAGCCAGAGATGCCTCCATCTCTTGGATAAAACACTTGTCTTAGCAGCTTGCTTAGTGTAAAGATGATCAAGTATTTGAATTATCAAAGGATCTGGTAATTGGCTTAGCCTATCTTCGTTCAGTGTCGAACTCAACCCTTTGGAACGAGCCTGATTCGATTTCCCTTTACCATCCATATATGCAGAAAGCTTTTCGAAAACACAGAAACTCTAATTGAAACCGCAGAGTTTCAGAGAGACGATTGAGAGTGACCAACCTAAACAACATCAACGGGATACCAAATCAATCGATTGAAACCCTAAGCTCAAACGCAGATGAAAACGAAGCAATTACGATTAACGAAGAGGACAACTGAAGAAAGGTTTAGAGAATGGATATGGAGGAAAGACGAACCTCAAATGCGAGCGAGAGTGACGACGAATCCGTAACGTCGTAAATTGCAGACTGATTCACTCACTGCACTCGAGAGAGTGGAAGAGATGGTGTTTCATTTTGGGCCTATTGGGCTTAATTAAAGTCAGCCCATTAGTACTAGGATGTGTGGATCCAGTTTTTATTATTATAATCATATTCTTAATTAATTCTTGGTATACAAACTTCAGTAGTTACCACATTCTGGTTGATCAACTTGCAATTTACTGTTTTCTCTCATCAGAAATGCAAATCGTCTAAACACAAGAGCTCATCCTTTTTTTTCTTGAGAAAGAATTCACTCAAACAACTAGGTTAGAGTGCAAAGTTTTTAGTAGTGAAATTTGATATATGGTGGATAAAAAAAACTCGTCTCCAAGAAAATAATTTAGTTGCACCACAACACGGACAAAAAAAAACCTCGAGATAACAAGTGTGTATTTCTCTACAAAATTTTAACTACCAAATCATCAACAAGATTATGCAACTAATAAGAGAAAATAATGTGTAGAAAGATGAACAAAATGTATTTCTGAGTTAGGTTGAGAATCCGCGATACCATATGCATGTTAAGCCTAGGGGATGTTTGACTCCATCCACAATCACAATCCACGAGCCATGTTACGCCTCAAGAACTTGGCCACTTGCTCAACATAAATATATGAATCAAAGCAACTTCGACAAATGACTAAAATTTACTCGGATCTCCAAGAAATAAATAAATTTCACAAATTAAGATTTCCAAGATAAAAAGAGGCCAAAGGCCATTAGTTTTGATACCCACTAGGAGGAGACACAGCCCGGCGGGAGGTGCGGAGGCCATAGGCCAATTCTAATTTTTCAGTATTTAGTTAGAAAAAAAGCTCCAGATATATTTATTTTTAAAAATCTCTTATGTTAAAAGGCCCAGATATATTTAACTTAAAAAATACTCATGTTAAAAGGCCCAAATCTTTCTTTTTTGCCTTATCCAGCGAAACATTGAGCCAGGACTGAGGAGACAAAATCAGTTTAATGAACCAGGTTCACTTATTAAAAAACTAGCTCCTTAATTATTATCATTAATCAAAGTACAAAATTAACAACGAACCAAACTCAATGCATGCATGCATGCCTCGATCGATCTCACTTGTATATTTCTCCGCAATGGCTTATCTGAATCCATCACGGCTTCACGCAAGGCTCTGAGAGGTTCCTACTTGGCAGAAGGCTTCCCTACCGACCGAAATGGACCAGTGGATTTCTTGGCTGATTTGTCAGCCAAATGGCCTTTATTATCTTCCGAGAGAGTACCTGCATTCGCCGTTTTTCTGTCGTCTGTCGGGTGAGCCTTACAACTCCACCCGGAATGTTTTATCCCAAAAAGAGCTTCTTCAATCCCGGTTATTGTTGCATCATGTATTTCGTCATTTGTGATTACGTCGGAGTAGATCAGTCTTGACGTCGTCATCACCTTTTTCTTGGCTATTGTTGGAGAGAATGTTTCGTTGACAATCATGTCATGTTCTTTGTCCGTCAAGTTGGACATGAACAGCCGTCTGGCCAACTCCTCCGCCTCACCCACCGTTTTCACCACCGCTCCCAAATCCAATAAGTCCTTATTGCCCTCCATCTTCTCTTCTCCTTGATTGCTGTTTTCCATACGCATATTTCTGAATGAATCTGTTGCTTCCTCCACTTTGTTTTTCCCTTTGCAAGGACCCAGTAATCAGTGCCGGTCCAACGAATTTAAATGCCCTACTCGAATCTAAAAAGTATGCCTTTCAATTTTTTTTCTTTCCAAAATCATAAAAACAGTAAAAAAAAAAAACCATGAAAACTTCATAAAATAAACAATTCCCAGTTAGTAAATAGTTTGAAAAAAAAAAAAAAAAACTGATTTCTTATGGTTTAAATAAAGCTTTCCTTAGATTTTGAGCTGCAAAATCATTTATTAAACTCACATAATGATACACATTATAAAGATATTTGTTAACAAATGCCCTATAAATATTAATATCACTAAAAAGGTTTTAAAACTTTGTACATGATATATAAACCCCTTTAAAAAAAATTAACAAAAATATGTTCTTGTTAAAACTTTGTAAATAATACCTTTAAGAAAAAATTTAAGTAATTAAAATATGCCCTTGTTAAAAATTTGTAAATGATATTTATACACCCTTAAGAAATTTTTTATCAAAAATATGCCTCTAATAACTTGATGCCCTACTCGGCCACTTACCCTGCATGTGCTCAGGGCCGGCCCTGCCAGTAATAACCCCTTGAGGATTGAGTGAGGCATAATGCTTTTGTTACGTTTATGTTTGGCACTTAACTGATCAATTGTAGTTTAACAACTAGTAGAGTACCCGCACGTTTGTGCGGTGTGACGTTGTTGTTTTGTGTAGAAAATTTAAACCCTAAATCCGAACCCGACAAAAAACCCTAATCAAAAAATTTAAAAACCCAAACTTTTTTAATAGGTCTAAACATGAAAATCCGAAATCAAAAAAATCCCGAAAACCCTGACTGAACAAAAAAAATCTGGAAACTTTTTCACCCGGAACCCGACCCCAATACCTAATCAAAATTTTAAAATACTCAATTTTTTTAATATATCTAAACCCGAAAACCAGAAATCTAAAAAATCCGGAAAACCCTAAACTGAAAAAAAAAATTGAACCTAACCCGAACAGAAATTTTCAAAGAAACCCGAACAATTTCTATATCTCTATAAAATTATGTCTCAGATTTTCACCCAAACCCGAACTTGTCTATAAAAACCCGAAAATCCAAAAAGCATATTCTATTGATTTGGAATTATCGTTAGATTATGTTAAGTTTTTTTTTTGCAGATTTTTAAGAGATGGAAAACGGAAGTTTTCTAAACCATCGGTTTATTTTAAGTTATTATTCTTGTATCCAAACAATTTTTTCCATTTATTCTTCTATCCAAATAGATTTTTCTCTTATTCTTATATCCAAACAACTTTTGTTTATCAGCGACGCAACCGCCTTGTGGTGAATGGTGTCAAATAGATGGAGCCTGGAAAGAGTCAGAGACTCGAGCGGGACTTGGGTGGTACAATCTAGACTCGGAATCGGGTTCAGTTTTGGTTGGGGCCTGTAATTTACGACGGGGTCTATCCCCTTTGCAGACGGAACTGAAAGCGTTGGTGTGGGCCATGCAAATCATGTTGGTCTACAATAAACGGCGAATGCAGTTTCAAACTGACTGCACTGAACTGGTGAAGATGGTGTCTACACCGACAGCGTGGCCGGCGTTCGAAACACTGCTTGAAGAGGTGGAGAAGTGCAAGAGGCGGTTTGAGGCTTTCTCCATAATCCACATACCGAGGACAACAAACACGAAGGCAGACAAGCTAGCACGGAGTGCTCGAGATCAGCCTTATGACGTGTATTATGTAAACTCAATTCCACCAACATCGCTCCCTGAGCTGATTTAGGGGGAATTTAGGCTGTTGACAAAAAAAAAAAAAAAAAAAAAAAAAACAACTTTTGTTTCCATTTAATCTTCTATCCAAATAGATGTTTCTCTAATTCTTGTATCCAAACATTAGAATCTACTTCTCAATTAATAATATAAAGATATATATATACAATTAATATATAGTACAATCTACTCTTTTTCAAATACACAATTAAATAATACTGGATTTACTCTCTCTCTCTTTCATAACATAATATAAGGAGTTAAGGACTTTGAGATTTTTTCATACAGATTAAGAATCCATTTAATATTTGTACATTTTAAAATTAAATATAATTTATCACTAATTTCAAAATATTTCAACCAATAAAAAAATAATATACATAATAGAAATAATCAAAAATAATAAAAGCATATATAATTTTACATAAAAAAAATTGAAAAAACCTTATAAAATGAAACAAAACCTCATTCTATTGTGAAAGAGAGAAAATATTGTTCCCTTTACAAAAATAAAATATTGTTTTTAGTTAATTCAGTGAGAGCGACCCACGGTCTGATCCGGCCACCCGCTGACCCGGATTGTTTTTCGGGTCAACCTTGTGTATCCCAAAAGCCAAAACACAGCGTTTCAAGGCTTCAACTGGCTAAAGAAGCCAACGCCGTTCGAAGGAAAAAAAACACAAACCCCTAATTTTTGTGTCTGGTTTGTTTCTTCTGTACTCTTTGTCCTTCAACTCCTGAAAAAAGCTCTGGTAAAATCCTTCGGCCATGGCGCACGGAGGTTATGCCAAAAGAAGGGTTTCAGAACCGAAGCAAACGGCCGGAAGCAGCAGCCGGAGGTCGAAAGCTTTACGTGTAGAGAAGAAACCTAAGATTGTCTCACTCAAGAATCAGATGCGTTCCGTCGAACGCTTTCTTCGTAAAGTCAGCTCCTTTCCTCTCTCTATCTCTCTGCTTTAGGGGTTTCTCTGAAATTTAGGGTTTATGGTCGAAAACCTGTTAAATTTCCAGCCTTTCTAGTATGATGTTTCTGGGTTATGTTCAAGTTAGAGGATTTGATTACTGGGCATTCACTATTCTCAATTAGAAAGCATAAAAATGTCTAATTTCAGTTAGTGATAGAGAATTAGAATGTTGATGTATTGATTGATGATATAAGTATGTGTGACACTTATCTCTGTAGGATTTGCCTGCTGAGGTAAAAGAGTCACTAAAACAGAAGTTGGAAGATCTGAAGAAGCAGCAAGACGACCATACTCGTCTTGCTGTAGAACGTAAAATCTTCCTCAGGAACAGAAAGATCAAGTTCTTTGGTAAGAGCTTTTACTTACTCGTTTAAATCAATAATGACTTCTCTCTATTGTGCGTGGAAAAAAGTTTTGAACTTTTCTATCGTGAATTAGAGCGGAGAAAGATCGAAAGGAGCATTAGACGTCTTGAGAAGCTACAACGTACTTCATCTGCCCATGTGGGAGATGCTGATATAGCTGAGCAACTCAGAAAACTCAAAGAAGACCTTGAATACGTTCGGGTAAATTCAATGGCTTTTCCTTTTACTATGTGTTAAGCTTTACTTGAAAATGTATGTTACTGAGAGTTTTAGTTTGATTGTATGTACAATTGTAGTTCTTCCCTAAGAATGAGAAGTATGTATCTCTGTTTACTGGAGCTGAGGACTCGGAAGTGGTTGAGAAAAGAAGTAAAATGAGGAAGCAGATCAAAGCCAATATCATTGTTGCTGCTGCTAGTGGGAAAGAGTTGGAAGGTAAACAAAATATGTAGAGATGTTTATTATATATATCGTAGCTTATAAATGATGATGATGATATATGTTAATTTGTGTGATGCTATTGGTTGTGGACAAGCAGAGACTGGGAGTGAAGATGATGGTCTTCTTGACCTTAGTGATGATGATTTCTTTGATAAAGGGAGTTCAAGCGATGAAGCAGACGCAGATGATGAATTGACTGATAAAAGCACAAAGTACGGTTTAGTTAAAACGTCTATATACTTTCGCTTAAACGTCAATAGTTCTTCTTTCTGACTATACTATACAATTTTTCTCAGGGAGGCTGCTTCTGGCAAAGCAACAACATCTGGTGTGTCTAGTGATGAACGGAACCAGGTATGATGCGTTTTCTGTATATTTTCAAACTGTTTCTGAAAATCTGAAACCTCAATTTTGAATGTTTGGAAATTTTGTAGAAGCAAAACTCTGCGAGGGCTTTAATGCCACCACCACAAGCAAGATTCGGACCAAATTCCAGGAAGAGTTTTTCATCTGTGCAGAGGAATGAGATGCCATGGAGAAACAACACTTCAAACAGAAGAAGCGAGTCTTCGTATAACGCCAGGCCTGCTGCAGCAACAAACAGAAGAAGCGAGTCTTCTTCGTATGACGCCAGGCCTGCTGCAGCAACAAACAGAAGAAGTGAGTCTGCTTCGTATGACGCCAGAGCCGCTGCAGCGACTTCATATAGCAGTCAGAGTAGCAACTTGAGCTCTAATTCTGATGCTCATAAACCCAAAAGGAAGAGACGGCCTAAGAAGAAGAAGCAGGTACAGTTTTTTTGCTCCTTAAGACTCGAGTTTAGATTGTTAGGAGAAAGATTCTTTTGAGTAACAAAACCATTTTTGTTTACTTGTTAACATAATGTTTGATTCTTCTCTTGTTGCTGTTTTTGCAGGTGTGAGTGTGATTGGATTCTCAGTTTCTTCAACAACACACACTAGAAACTGCTATCAGTATGGCAAACTTAAATTATATCAAATGTTTGTTGACCGAAAAAAGAAAAAATGTTATAGCTTGTTATATTATAAATCCTAAAGTTACAATTTCTTACCATTTACATTCTTTTAAAATACAATTTTTAATCAAGATTTCTTTTTACCAATTTCTTTATATACATTGGTCAATTCTGAAAAAAACTTTATTTTTTCCTTGCATATAATTTATATTAATTACTAGATTAGGTCCCGCATACATGCGGGTTTATTAAACAAAATTTGATTATTTTTTGAATTTATGATATGAAATAGAAAAACTTACATGTGTCTAAATCTAATGGACTCATTAATTTATGAAACTTTGATTATTCCGTTGATGAAATCGTTACCTAAAAAAAAAATTGGAAACTAAACCATTTAATATTAGAAGATTGGTCCATTATAAAATTTTCTTTTTAATATTTTAGTTCTTTGATAATTATTTTGTCGGTTTTCTATTTATATTGTTTCTTTTTCAATTTTCTTTTTGCCTCTAACCATTATAAATTTTCATTTTCATTATTAGTTAATTGTTTTACAATTATTTTATTAGTTTATTTATTTATGTTACTCCATTTTTCCAATTTTGTTTTGTTGACACATGTCATCACCTGATTAAATATCATGACTTTTTATTTCTTAATGAGAAAGAAAATATTTTAAATATAGCTTGTTATATATTGTTTTTTCCTTTTCTTAATAAGAATATGTTTTTTATTCCTTTTCTTACTGGATGTAATATTTTTTAATTATTTCATCATATTTTTCTGTTTTTCCTTTTCGTAATAGGATTATATTTTTTTTTCTTTACTTTTCCTATAGATGTAATATTTTTTTTAATTGGTTGTTTCCTTTTTTCGGAATTTTTCTAATGCACTAATATGGTTTTATTTATTATATTATTTTGAAATTTAATATATATTTGGATAATATAAATTTGATGAATGAGAACCTTTTTCTATAAGGATATGACAAATATGGTTTTTTTTTTCTTTTTACTCTAATAGATTGTTTTTTAATTTTCCTTTTTCTAACATTTTTTAATTTTTTTTCTTTTCTTTTCCAAGACACATGTCACGATCTTAACGGACTTACCATTAAAATTGACACATGTCGCGATCCTATAAATTATAAAAATCCTACGTGTCGCAACCACATTGCGTGCATCCAGCTTTATATAATAAGATATTTCATACAATTTTAAGATATTTAGTTTACATACCTATTCCATATACTAATAGAAAATTTTTATAACATTATTTTCATTTGATTATATAAAATTTCGTTTTTATTATAAGATATTAAAAATTTCCCTTTAAAATAAAAATTTCCTTTTTCCGAAGACATGTGTCACGATCTTAACGGATATAACATTAAAAGTGACACATGTCGCAATCCTATATTTTATAAAAATCCTACGTGTCGCAACCACGTTGTGCGCATTCAGCTTTATATAATAAGATCTTTACTAATATTTTCTATTTGTGTTTTAGGCATGACTATTTCCATTAGTAAACTGTGTTGGAGCAGAAGAGGTCCTTTGGTATCAGAAGTCTCGCGAGAAATGGATAGCCCTGGGGGACAGAAACACTAAGTATTACCATATGACAACTGTAGTGAGGAGGCGGAGAAATAGGATTGAGGCCTTACAAGACAACGAGGGACGATGGATGACACAGACAGAGGAGCTCGAAAAACATGCCATAGGGTACTACAGGAGACTCTACTCTATGGAGGATGTAGATGAGATCGCAGAGAAGATTCAGGTGGAAGGCTTCGCACAGCTTACACAGGAGGAACTAACAGGCCTAAACAGACCGTTCGGGGCCGAGGAAGTAGAGAAATCGGTGCGGAGTATAGGAAGGTATAAGGCGCCGGGACCAGATGGCTACCAGCCAGTTTTCTATCAAGAGAATTGGAACATGGTGGGAGATTCCGTGTCTCGCTTTGTGCTGGAGTTCTTCCGATCTGGGGTCTTGCCACCAAAGACGAATGATGCGATTGTGGTGTTAATTGCCAAGGTCCTGAAACCGGAGAAGATTACACAGTTCAGACCTATTAGTTTATGTAATGTTTTGTTCAAAACCATTACAAAAACAATGGTTATGCGACTGAAGAAGGTGATGGCGAAACTTATTGGTCCGGCGCAGTCGAGTTTCATCCCTGGAAGGTTGAGCACAGACAACATCGTGTTAGTGCAGGAAGCAGTGCATTCCATGAGGAGGAAGAAAGGCAGAAAAGGGTGGATGTTACTGAAGCTCGACTTGGAGAAGGCGTATGATCGTATAAGATGGGATTTCTTAGAGGATACGTTACGGGTGGCGAGACTACCGGAGAGCTGGATTGGTTGGGTGATGCAGTGTGTAACAGGACCAGAGATGAGTATCTTGTGGAACTGTGAGAGAACAGAAGCGTTTAGGCCGAAGAGGGGTTTACGACAAGGAGATCCCTTGTCACCGTATCTGTTTGTCCTATGCATGGAGCGGTTGTGTTATTTGATCGAGATTGCTATTGCCGAGAAGAAGTGGAAACCAATTCAATTGTCACGAGGGGGACCTCAGCTCTCACATGTGTACTTTGCCGATGACCTGATTCTCTTCGCGGAGGCTTTGGTGGCACAAGTAAGAGTAATACGACGGATTCTAGAGCAGTTTTGCGCCGCCTCGGGACTAAAAGTGAGTCTTGAGAAATCGAAGATCTATTTTTCCGAGAATGTGAGCCGCGACATGGGGCGACTGATTAGTGAAGAGAGTGGGATTGGAGCAACTCGAGACCTAGGCAAATATCTGGGAATGCCTGTATTGCAGAAGAGAATCAATAAAGACACATTTGGAGAGGTTCTGGAGAAAGTTTCATCATTTGAATCAATATCAGATGCTAAGTTTTGCTGGACGAATTACACTGACGAGGTCAGTATTATCCTCCATCCCAGTGCATACAATGAGTACTATGGTGTTACCACAATCAACAGTTGCCAGACTTGATAAAACCTCGAGAGGTTTTGTGTGGGGAGACACTACAGAACGAAGGAAACAACATCTCCTCTCCTGGGATAAGGTGTTTCGACCCAAAGGGGAAGGAGGCTTGGGTATTCGTAAGTCGCAGGAAATGAATAAGACCCTCATAGCAAAGTTGAGTTGGCGTTTACTGAAAGACGAGACCTCACTTTGGGCAAAGGTATTGCGGAGCAAATACAAAGTTAAAGATATCAGGGATGGGTCTTGGTGGAAGACTGCAGGGAATTGGTCGTCCACTTGGCGAAGCGTCCTGAAGGGAATGAGAGACGTGGTGATACCAGGGTTAAGTTGGGTGATTGGAGATGGAAATTCCGTTAGCTTCTAGACGGATAGATGGCTGTTGCCACATACTTTACTGGAGGTAGCAGTGGATGAGATACCACCCAATCTGGTGGAGGCGAAAGCCAGAGATCTATGGCAAAACGGAAGCGGCTGGAGACAAAACGAGATAACTCCATACATCTCTGAGGAAACGCGACTGCAACTCATGTCGGTGGTCGTAGATGAATACACAGGCGGAAGGGACAGAATGTCATGGGGACATATTCTGGATGGTGAATTCTCGGTGAAGTCTGCTTATACGTTTCTCACTAGAGATATCACACCCGGACCAAGTATGAACGCATTGTTTACTCGAGTATGGCAGGTGATAGCCTCGGAAAGAACCAGAGTGTTCCTTTGGCTAGTCGCACGACAAGTTATTATGACTAATATGGAGAGACAGAGGAGGCATCTTAGCGATACGGGAATTTGCCAGGTATGCAAGGGTGGAGAAGAAACGATCCTTCATGTACTCAGAGACTGCCCGGCGATGTCTGGAATTTGGAATCGAATTGTACCAGCAGCGAAGAAAAGGGAGTTTTTCACCACGCCGTTGCTGGGATGGTTGTATGAGAATCTCGGGTTACATACGGAGATGGGAGGTTACACTTGGTCTACTATCTTCGCTATTGCTACCTGGTGGGGATGGAAATGGAGATGCTGGAACGTGTTTGGTAATACTGGCAAATGCAGAGACCGGGTGAAATTTGTCAGAGATCTTGCTAAAGAAGCAGCGGATGCGCACTCCAAAGCGCGGGTGAATCCGCCTGCAAGAGCCCGCGTCGAAAGACAAATCTCATGGAAACCTCCAATGCATGGATGGTTTAAGGTGAACACGGATGGAGCTTCCAGGGGAAATCCGGGTAGAACCACAGTGGGAGGAGTCATTAGAGATGAGACTGGTGCATGGTGCTGTGGATTTGCGCTTAATATTGGGATATGTTCAGCTCCCCTGGCCGAGCTATGGGGATATACTACGGCTTGTATATGGCCTGGGAAATGCGGAGGTGGAGGTGGATTCGGAGGTAATAGTGGGCTTTTTTAACTCAGGGATCAATGACTCTCATCCCCTGTCTTTCCTAGTGCGTTTATGCTATGGCTTCTTCTCGAGAGACTGGTTAGTCCGGGTGACTCATGTTTACAGAGAAGCGAATCGTGTGGCTGATGGGCTCGCGAACCATGCTTTCTCTTTACCGTTTGGTTTTTATTCTTTTCCTTCTCCATCTAGTGAGGTTCTGTCTCTGGTGAGTGAAGATGTCAATGGCTCTTCAAGAGCCCGGTCTGTACGAACATGATAGTTTTGTTCCATTAATAAATTAAGGAGACTATTGTCTCATCTCTTCTACCAAAAAAAAAAACTATAGTAAATTAACAAATCAAAATCATAAACAAATATGATGCAAAAAAAATTAAGCTAATGTTGAATTGCACTGACCATAATCTAGAAATCTAATTAAGAAAGAATTCAATTCGTTTTTGACCAATGAATGGCTGCAGAAAGAAACAAAAACAAATGCAGAGAAAAAACATTTTTTTTCCACTAAAAAAAAAGAGAAAAACCCAAAGATTTATTGCTGCTGCCGAATCTTGATTGAAGGACGAGCCACCGATTGACGCCGTTGAAACACATGAATCCCTACGGACAAGAGATCCAGAGATGATGTCTGAGAGATTCATTCAACACAGAGAATTTGGTTAAAAAATCAAATCAAATTCCCATAGATTTATTATACTTTCTTTCAATCTTATTGAGGAGACTCAAGTGGGAGTGAAAAGGATAACAAAAAAAAGACGATTTTGATGGAATCAAATTTCAGGTGGCTTTTATATGCCATCCTGATCTCTCTGACGTTCTCGGGTTTTGTTCTTGACGATGGAGTTGTCGCCGAAGGTGTTAAGCCTGACGAAGCTAAACAGCTTCGAGACGAGGTAATGAATTCCTTAAAACAGATCTGCAATTTTCTTCGCTCTTGATTTCTTTTCGTTACTCCGATTGGCTTTGTTAGTAATGCTCTCTGAATAAGTTTGTTTGTGCCCAAAATGAGTAAAGTTTTAATTTTTACTCAAAGCTAAATAGACTGTTGTTGATCTAAAAGGTAAGGTCTTTAGACTGTCGAGCTGAGAATAACTTGGTTTTGTGGTGGAGATTGGAATGTGTAGGCAGTTCGATAATTACCTCATTTGATGGCTCTGTCTCTTAAAAGTGATGGGTTTGATCATACTGAGTGTGAGTGTAGGTACGTGAGATGTTTTATCATGCTTTCGATGGATACATGAACAATGCGTTTCCACTCGATGAACTGAAACCATTATCTTGCCAAGGAGAAGATACTCTTGGAGGCTATGCGTTGACTCTGGTAAAAACAAAAAAACTGTAATATTTAACTTTCAATTGGTATCTACAGTCGTATGTAAAACTTGAACCTTTGTGTTTGTGTAGATCGATTCGTTGGATACATTAGCTTTACTTGGTGACAGAGAGCGCTTCACTTCTTCTGTTGAATGGCTTGGTAAAAATCTTCAGTTTAATATAGTGAGTAAAGGATACGTTTTGGTTTCCCTAGAACAGATACCAAGTTTAATTTGTTGTTCAGAACATTGGCAGTAAAGTTGATGCAATGATACATGTTACACTGCAGAACAAAACCGTCTCTGTGTTTGAAACAACTATCCGAGTCCTTGGAGGTTTACTTTCTGCTCATCTGATTGCAAGTGATTATGCAACGGTACTCTTTCTTCTTCTTACAAGTAGATATTTGTACATTCTTATGAAAGTGGTTTTGATTTGTTTGCACTGTGACATTGAGTTGAATCCTATCTGATGACAGGGCATGAGAATTCCATCGTACGACAGTGAATTACTAGTTTTGGCTGAGGATTTGACAAGGAGAATGCTTCCGGCATTTGATACTCCCACTGGTATGTTCTTATAGTCATCACTTGTTGATAAGCTGGTGCGTGCGTATGGATATGCGAAAGCGTGGACTTGTTGTCATGTCATCTCTTTTGTATTCTCTGCAGGAATCCCATATGGATCTGTGAATTTGATGTACGGTGTTGACAAAGATGAAAGCAAGGCAAAGCATCTTCTGATTTTCCTTCTTACGTATTTAGTTCATTGATCTGTGCTTTTGGTGACTGCTCATTTTCAGCTTCTTTAGATTCATGTTGTGGAACCTCGTGTATATAGTGAGTGACATATTTGTTTCGTTTGTTCAGATAACATCAACTGCTGGTGGTGGTACTTTGACTTTAGAGTTTGGCGTGCTTAGTCGTTTAACAAATGATCCTGGTGAGTGAAGCTATAAAGCTTTGGTTTAGCCACTGAGAAATACTTCTCTTTAGCTCTCTTTATTCTCCTATCAAGATGTTTTAGTATGTTTTGTTTCTTATGTGCTCTCAACTTTGTTAAACTTGAAGTTTTCGAGCAAGTTGCAAAGAATTCGGTGAGGGGACTATGGGCACGCCGTTCAAGTCTCGGCTTGGTTGGTGCTCACATCAATGTCTTTACAGGTGAATGGACACAGAAGGTAACACCTATCTTTGGCAATCTTCATTTAACAACTTAAAGAATCTTATTCATTTCGTTGCGGAACTTTGCTTCCACAAAACAATTGGTCTTTCTTGTCACCCAAATTCTGAATAGTAGTGTCTACTTGGCAGGATGCTGGCATAGGAACAAGCATTGATTCTTTCTATGAGTATCTCCTCAAGGTTAGTAATGCCAAGTCCTAGATTCCAAAAAAAAAAACCGGAAATCTAGTTTCTGTTCTTCACACCTTGCATTAAAGATGAGTGACACTGAGATTTTCAGGCTTATATACTATTTGGGGACGAGGAATTTCTATACATTTTTCAAGAAGCTTACGGGTCTGCAATGCAGCACCTTCACAAGGATCCTTGGTAAAGCTTTTCTCTATACATTTTGTTTCGTTACAAAACATAAACAAGGCAATCCCTTTGTTTGGACTATTGTTTCTTCTAGTTTTTTCGTAGGTATGTTGAGGTCAATATGGATTCCGGAGCTATTGTCTGGCCAGTTTTCAACAGCCTTCAAGCTTTCTGGCCTGGACTTCAGGTAAATCTGATTGTACTGTTTGTTAATATTTTTTTTCAGCCACAAAACTAAAAGCTATGCTGTTTCTCTCTCAAAAAGGTTTTAGCTGGAGATGTTGATCCTGCTATTAGAACTCACACTGCCTTCTTCAGCGTCTGGAAACGTTATGGTTTCACTCCCGAGGGCTTTAATCTTGCCACACTTAGTGTCCAGGTACTCCATCTTGATTTTTAAGTGTCTCTGAGATGTTATAACTTCATAGCTACTCTTCTTTTTTCCTTACAGTATGGACAAAAGAGTTATCCGCTGAGGCCGGAGCTAATCGAGAGCACATATTGGCTATACAAAGCTACCAGAGATCCAAAGTCACCAAATTTCCTTCACTGTTACATTACTGAAATTGCAAATACATATTGATCTTGTTCTTAATATGTTTGCTATCTATCGTTCGACAGGTATCTTGATGCAGGACGTGAGTTCGTGTCTAGTTTGCAATACGGAGCAAAATGTCCTTGTGGTTATTGTCACATCACAGATGTTGAACTTCATAAGCAAGAAGATCACATGGAGAGCTTCTTCCTCGCTGAAACCGTAAGCAAATGCTAAAGACTCTGTTTCTCAAATATGCATTTTTCTATTACTTGCCTTAAAAGGCTTAACATGTTATTGCATTTTCGTGAATGTTTTCAGGTAAAGTACTTATGGCTACTCTTTGACTTAGCTGTTAATTCAGATAACCTCGTCGACAATGGCCCTTACAAGTAACCCCTCATAAACCTCTAGATTTCACATCGCATCATTTCACTAATCTTGCTGATTTTTATGTATCTACAGATACATTTTTAGCACTGAGGGGCATCTATTACCATTGACACCGCAAATATCTCTAGCTCGAGAACATTGCTCTTACTTTGGCGGATATTGTCCACGCAACGCCACAAAACCAGAGCAAGAAGAAGATGATCGAGTCCCTGGAATCGAGGTCGGGACTCACAGTAACATTTATCCTTACCACGAGTCTTTTCCAGTTACCGGTTTGATAAAGGTCAGTATATAGAAGAGAACAACAATATTGTTTCTTTGCTTACTTTCTTTTTCAAGAAATGCAACAAAGTCAATTTCTTCTGTTTGGGGTTTCTTTTGTAGGGTTTATGTCCAGGTCTAACTCATGGTCAGAAATACGGTTTGTCTTATGGTTTACCAGAGAAGACAGAACGTGAAGATGTTAACCGAGCTAAACCGGTGATCACGAGCCGTTCGGTTGTGGTGGTCTCTGATCAAACAGTGGAAAAGAGACCGCAGGTTGGTGAAGATGGAGGGTTTACTTCTCAGTCTGAACCAATTATGAGTATCTCTGGTGGTAGTAGCAACGAACAAACCGGTCAAGAGCTAACTTTGTTAGAGTCAGAAACTGATGATCAAAGACTATACTCTTCTTAACTTTTGTTTTACATGTTCCAAAAAAGAAAGAAAGATTACAGTTTTGCTTTTCGTAGTGAAATATAGATTAAAAATTGATTATCTGAGATGCAAAAAGTTGTTACAGTTTGTGGCATTTTGATTTCTGATCTTTCTTGAATTCTTGAACTTATAGTCATCTTGCATCAAATTGTGATATCAGTTTCTTGATCATAATCAAGAACATCAAAAACATGAGGGTTTGAATGTGAAAACTCTAAACTGTTGGAGGAGCTTCCTTTAAGAAACTCTAATTCAATGAACCTATACCATTTCTTATTCATGAAGCTGTTAGATTATTTTAATAGATAGTGGAGACAAATTAGCACAGTTGGTAGATTTACTTGTTTATGCTGTGGGGGACCAAAGTAGCAGTAGGAATCAAACTAACAAAAGATAATATAAACATTTGCAAAGTCCCAAAAATTATTCTCACTGCTCGATTAGATTTCTTACTTGTTTAATCTCTCTCTCTCTCTCTCTCTCTCTCTCTCTCTCTCTCTCTCTCTTTGTGATTAAACATCTATAATTTAAGTAAAAAGAAATTAGAATCCAAGGAAGTTTGCTTAAAAGCTGGCCTTTTAAATTTCTGCCATAAAACCAAACTTTGATTTTATTGATTTGTTTTTGTTGTGTTCATCCGCAAGTTAGGTTATAGAATTATAGCTTGATCCAATCACAACCCATTGATGGACTGTGCAATATCTTTATATGGATCTTGGTTTGATAATTAGTAACATTTGCTATGATTAGTCTTAATTGTGAGATCTTGGTTTGATGAGAAACACACATCTTTTGAAGCAGCAAGAAGAGAAACATAACAGAAAAATTAAAGGGTATTGTTACAAAATCAAATTTGTTCGATGAGAACACACAACAACAAAAACAAACATGTTTGAGATTAGATATTTACAATAGCACGCAACCTTTCTCTTTAATGGAGAAAAACAGAGTTATACAGCTAAAGTTTAGATTTAGATCATTCTCACACTCTATGCTTAACACCCATTTAAGCATCTCTCTGTTACATTTTGTTACCATCATAATCAAGAACACCACAAGAAACTGTTTTTTTAAACCGATAAGGTAAAAATTCACAGTTTTGATCTCCCCGAAAACCCAAGCAGTTTCAAAGCTTTTTGTTTTTGTGTGTTTCTCTTAAAAGCAGAGAACACACAAAACAAAAACTCTGTTTCTGAATCTTCTCTTTGATCTTTTTGTCTCTATTAGGTTATCTTAAACACCACAACCTAAACCTTTAACTTCTGATCCTTTCATGATTCTTAGCCTCTTACATGAAGATACAAACATCCTGTAACAACAACAAACAAAAACAACATAAGTACATAGACCTAATTGATAAGAAAATAAATTAAAATATGAATGAAAATGTTACTTACTCCCAAGGAACATCACCAACAAGCATCCAATCACCATCCTTGTCTTCATAAGTAGGCACAAAGTCTGAGCCTTTATATCCTTCTCGCTCAAAATATTCTCCCACAGAGAATTTAAACATGTTTTCAAGTGATTTCATCAGTTCTGGATATTGCTTATACACCGTTAGATCTATCTTCCTCAGATATGGAGCACCATCCATACTTACTTTCACATACATTCCTTGACCTTCAGATTCATTCTTCTTTGCCTGAATACTGTTCTTCCTGAAAGATCTAACAGGTGGCCATCCAATAATCTGAGCCCTGCAATAAAAAAACATCAATTGCAATACGTTAGATCAGATCTACAACCACCAATACAAAGTTTTCTTGGATTTGATTCAAAACACTTACTTTGGAGGAGAAGCGGTTTCAGTTTTTCCAGTGGATTCAATCTCTTTCTCTGTTTCAGGTAATGCCCTTTTGTTGATTTTACCGCAAGAAACCATTTCTTTCTCTTCTTGACATACATCTTCTGTTCCCGGTAATCCTAATCTCAGCTCTGTTGCCTTAAGGTTAACAAACTCATCACAAACACCAACCTTCTCCATTTTCTTGGATTAGTCTTCAAAAAAATAAATTTTTTTTCTTGTGTGTGTTTAGAGAGAGAAAGACTTGGTGGATGAGATGAGGCTTTGTGAAGAAGAGTGTTTTATAGGAATTGAAAGTTGCTTTCCCATTTTTTGTAATTTAGAAAAAAAAAAGGTTTTAACTTGAATTAAGGACAAAGGCAAAAGCTAAAGCTGTCGGGTAGTAAACAGTAGCAGCAACTTTGAGGCAAAGTGTGTCCCATCATTTTGGGGACATTTGTGGGACACTTTCATCTTCAACCAAAAGATACTTTCTTTGATCTCAATGGACGACCCAGATTATTTTCCTTGTAGCCCTAATTCAAGGAAGTGGGGTTAAGGTATGGTACACTCATGTGCAGAATATAAAACCCTTTTTCTTTGGTTGAGCATTGAGTTTTGTAGGGTAAGCATTACATATGGTCTGCCATATGCAAATGTCACCTCTCTCTCTATCTCTTCAAGCCAAGAAGTTACTCTTATTTTATTTTATTTTATTTTATTTGTGGTTCTTGTTAAATCAAAGATTAGATCATTCTAGTCAATCGAGTTGAAACTATAGCTGTAATCAAGTCAAACATATTTATAGATTTTTATTTTATATAGTTTGTTGTGTGTTTTTGACGATAAGATTTTGAGGAGCTTCATTGACTTTTATTTTCACAGAGTACTAAAGTTTGAGTTAAAATTTTAGGTGATTTTGTTAGTTTTTTTTTTTTTTTTTTTTTTAATCTCTTGTGAATGAAGCAAGCAACCACATGAATACTTATTATACTCACTGTTTCTTCTTTTCTTAGTCATGAAAAAAAAACCCAACTTTGTCTCTCTGTCTCTATGAAACTTCTAATGATCTTTCGTATAAATGAATCGAGAAACAAACTGACAAGAAATCTACTCAAAAAGTTTTGTCTTTTGACAGTTCATCATCTATGGGGTCTTATAGTTTTTGGTTTTGATTTGTTTCTGTCTTTGTTCATGTAACAGCCAGGCATTTGCTGTACTTGTCATGGTTTAATGAACTAATTAGCCTAATCGAATTATGGCAGGACCGGATTTAAAGACCTTACAAGTGTGACTAGTGCGTTAGAGTTTGGACTCTGGTTTCGATATCTTTTGTAGAAGAAAATTTTATATTTTTAGATAATTTAAAGGTCCACAATTTTATCTTGAAACTCTGTCACCACATATCAAATATATGTTTTAACGAAAAAAATTACGTACGACCTCCAAATAATTTTTGAGACGACGTTGCATATGATTTATGTGACTACGACATTTGGAAAGTGAACATTTTGGAGCCGACGTTGCATATGGTTTTATAAGAATTTGGTTCAAAAAGGGGAAATTTAATAGTCGTGTGGTATCTATCGTACATGCTAAACAACAAAACTTTGTGTTCGATTTGAAATGGGAAACGGTGGTTTTGTTTGAGTGGTGGACTGGTGGTGATTACGATTTTAAGTTCATCACTAGCTAGAAATTAAATACCGAAAATGAAATATATCTACAAAAAACCGGTTAATGAAATTCTCCCCGGTTCCGTTTGATGCTCATAGTTGCAAAATTAAATTTATTTGGAATCTAAATAAATTTGAAAAGATTAGGCTGTATATACTAATGATGATGGATTGATCAACCGTTCGATCCAATTAATGATAAGATAATATACCTTTAGCAAAATAAAATAAAATAAAATATAAGATACATACACACATGATCCTACATGTTTATAACTTTATAGTTTATACCATCATCATAAGTTAGTAGGTATAGGCCAGTATTGGTATAGGCAACACGAAGCTAATACTATTCGATTTCCACCACAATGACCACCGCACAATGCTCATTTTCTGTAACCTAACCCAACATTGCAACCATTTACCAGAGATATATTCCTTTTTTTAATTTTATTTATGAAAGAAATTTGGGATTTTTTGTTTGTTTTCATCTAGAATTTTATTTAAATCAAGGTGGGATACATTGTTGGAATACTAAGCTAGCAGAAATCAAAAATTTCCAACCCACACAGAAAAGCTAAAGATATATCCCTAACAATTTTGTAACCTAACCCAACATTAGATCCTTTAAAATTATGCTCTGCAAAACTAAAAAGGGAAAGAAAAATGAAAAAAAGTTGTGGGTTTAAAAAAAAATATATACTTGATAATCTATTTGGCTTTAGAATTATTTTTATTGTTCTTTACAACTTCTACAACAACAATCAATCACCCCCATAGCCCCATAAGCTTATAGTTCAAGTGTTAATACCATAATTAGATACCGTAGAATTATGATCTTAGTATATTTTATTAATTAGAAAATACATCTTAAACACCTTGAATTAATTTGTCCCCAAAAAACACCCTCAATTCTTGGAAAAATTAACCATGCCTAAATTTAATTTTTGTAAGTGTAATTAATTTGATATTACATCAAAAGAAAAGAACTTCTTTGAAGGCATTTTTTATTTCCTGGTCACTTGTACTAACTGAGTCAAAAAGATGTCTACAAGTCACTTGTACTAACCGATTCAAGATACATTAACTACAACTGTTCATTCGTTTTCTCGTAAACTACCGTAGTATTTAAAGTTTTAAACCAGTAAAAGACAGTCAGCGACCGTGTGGCTGGAACTTGAGTGCTCATGTGTGGAAATGTGGGTCCCAATTGAGAAACACGTACATGTGAAATCGACGGTGCAGCGTGGGGTCCACGAAATTCTTTGCTATCTTCTGGGTCCTACTTGATTATTTTATAAATGTTGTAATGGAAAAGACTCTCGTTTGTAGTTTTTTTTTTTCTTTTAACAACAAACTCATCCTTGTTAATTGTTGTTATCAACATGAGTTCATTAATCATTACTATAGTCTTTAGTTCTTTACTACTAAACTATATTTTAAAAATCAAACCATCTAGACGTCAAAAAAAAAAAAAAAAAAAAAAATCAAACCATCTTTGGTATGGCTTAATCAGTATGCCATAACCCCAAATACAAGGGTACATTTTTCTTAATAATCCGTTTATCACTACATGATCAATTTTGACTAATCATATTTGTTTTTGGCAAACAATGTACAGTACTATATACTTGCCGACAGAAAAACGGAGCTTATTGATCTTTCCGTATTATTATCGTTATCTGATCTTACACCGAATTTTTGAACCAAAAAAAAAAAAAAATCTTACACCGAATTATCAATATTGGGCTTAACGGGCCCAACAAAAGCTATGAATTCTGCTTTGTATTTTTAATTTCAGCTAATTAACGGTGAATGGTGTATGTGATTAGTGAATAGTGATTACTACTCAGTTCAGTGATCGACGACTACACAAATCTGGCAAAATTGTTACTCACTGTTGCAGCTACTTTAATTTCCTTTCATTGGCATATACTGTACAACTGTAACTGACTCTAATGATTAAGAAAATTGATCATCAAATCTTTTGGAAAGCGATTCCCTCAGCTCATTCTTTTTTAGTTAACCTACTCCTTGATTTTGCGAATCCTCGTTGATCTCACCCATAAAGTTTTTGGGATCACGATCCTTCTCGTATACAATAGTGGATCATATTCTCTTCTTATATAAACTCCTAGAGGACATAGATATATCTCCAATTATCGATTATCAATTATCAAATATTTTAAATAATAGTAGTAGTTATAATGGTATTTAGCATATGCACAATACACTCTATTAAACATTGCTTATATATTCACATTATTACATGTTTTATCCTACCTTAGTACCTTGCCTACATATTTTGTTTCGTCACGTCTGACCTCACAAAAATAATTTTCAAATCAGAAAACTGAAAAAAGAACATGCGAAATTGCGAATCTACATTTAATTTGCAAGCATCGTGATTAAATGATCTTCGTCAGTCAAAACTGTCTGAGCTGGAGTAAGAAGCAATCCTGCAATATCATCAGAGAAAATCATGGCAAAAATCATAGAGTAATGATTGGTTCAACTAAGATCTGTTTGTTCTTTTTATATATATATACATATATATATTTTATAAAAAATGTCAAACCATATATGTGGTGAAGAAGAGACCACATTGAACCCTAGTCTCATCAAGAAGGAGCCAAATTGCATCGGACAATATTAAAATCACAACGAGAGATCGATTCTCTTAGATGCATCATCTTGGTTTAATACATACATATTAATTGCACTTTCAGAAGATTATTATGAAACGTGACATGAAATTTGCCAGTTAAAAATTTAAACATACATATGTAATGTATGAATGGTTTATAATATGTAGTATATATATTTTTTCATCATAGTTATTAACTTATTATGTTGGTATGTTATTCATTTGAATGATAATGATAGATACCTAAGAAAAACATTTTTCAAAAAAAAAAGATAGATACCTAAAATAAAACATTTTCAGAAAAAAAGATAGATACCTAAGCGAATGAGCATAATTTATTTTGCTGTTCTATTTGCTGATTTGCATGCAGGTCATCTAGCCGCACTCTTTAAATGCGAAAAGTATGTTCTAGCGACTCATTGCATTGAATGTGGAAACAAAAATCAACACCAATAAAAATGAGAGATATAAAAAAATGAAAATTGCATTTTGTGGTAAATCATCGTGTGTTGTGGCTTCGTTATATCCATATGTAACGAAAGTACACCTGGTCCTAGCAACATTCTTATCTGTCAAGTTGTTACAAAACACACATATACCTTTGAAACTTAAGTCGTATTTATTACGAAATCTCGATCCCATGAATTATCTTTTTGATACATTCATCTATATACACAATTAAGAATTGCGTCAACATCATATGAGTTTTTTTTGTTTGTTTGGTATGAATGTTAAGGACATCATATGCGTTCGTTATAAATGATTAAGATAATCTTATTATCATATAAATCTATCCAAAAATACACACCAAATATGGATTTAATTATATGGATGCTTCTATAGATTGTGACTTCTACATTCGCCATAACCATTTCTTGATCATCGGACAAAATGAAGTTTTGGAAACGTAAAGGTGATGTGAATTGATCGCTCCCCTTTTGGATTTTGATGCTAATGAGCCAATTCATGTTTCCCACATGCTTATCTGGAATACGTCATTCGTGTTTGTAATGTTTTGGTAAAGTTTAAAGTGAACATCATTATAAGTTGTCAATATATGCTGAGCTTATTCGAATTTGGTCCCACTAATATATTGAATCTGACGAATCTCGTTTGGGAGTCTAAACAATCTTATCACTATATAAATATGCATGATGCATCCATATTAGTTACTTATGAAATCTTAGTGCCAATTTTAAATTGAATAATTTACTTAGCGTATCTCTCATAGCTATACACCAATCTGCTTTATCTAATTAATTAAATAACATACTGTTAGGCTGTAGATAGTTTACGATACTCAAATATTTTGTTCTCGTAATAATGGACGGTGGAAAACCGAATCTTGAAAAAGGATGAGTTTATATGAGCTTAATTTATCGTATACATAAATGTGGTTTTCTTTTAAACAACAAACATGAAAGTATGTTAATTAATGGCATGAGAATATGATATACTCCTACATGAGAACTGCGCTTTTATTGTGGGATGAATAATTCAATCATGTGGGTGCGATGAGCATGATTGGAAGGCTTCGACGAAGTATCATTACGAAAAAGATCAACTTGGAATTTAATTATAATAACATTTAATTGATGCATTAGTCAATCGTCTATAGTCCATTCATACACTCTTATATATATGCGCACTCACCGTTAATAAAAATCTCTCTATATAATCCTTAGTTTGATCATTTTAAGTTCAAATAGGTTTCAATTCATTTGAAGATATAAGCACCTTAAGATATTCAAGATCCCTATGAGGCATTGGTTTGTGATACTTTTTAATCGCGATTTCGTGAAGAAAGGAAGAAAAATTGGGTTTTTTACATGCACGTTCTGATTATGAGTGTCCGAAGAATGTTTGTATTGTTTATTGTTTAGTTGCTTTTTGATCTATGAATACAGTTGGGAGACCTTCGTCTCCCGCATCACTCACCAAAAAAAAAGTGACATAAGATTCTTTAATTTCGGTAAGATTAATGAAATAGATGAAGAAATAATCTTAATGAATTAAAAAATATCGTTACATAAATTAATAGGAAGAAAAACTTAGATTAATACTAACTGTAGGATGAATTCATCCAACGGTACAGGAAGGACCACGTGTTAAAGTGCCATTCCAACCAAAGATCTTAAATACGACACACACATGCAGCTACTTGGCCTCGAGCATAGATAAAGAGAAGGGGAGAGAGAAAACTGCTCACAACATTCGCAAGAAGAAGAGAAAGATAAAAGAAAATTAGAAATATTAGAAAAACGAAAACAAGATTAGAGAAGAAAGTGGAATCCGAAGATGGAGCTGAATCTATGTTTGGGTTTGCCGGGAGGTGGAGAGAAGGCGGCGGCGGCGGTGGCCGGAAACAAGAGAGCCTACTCAGAGACGGTTGATTTGAAGCTGAATCTGAATAATGAGCGTGAGAAGAAGAGCAAAGAAGTATCTCTTGTTTCCAACGACAACACTTCTTCTGTTTGTTCTAAGGACCCAGCCAAGCCTCCTGCCAAGTAAGTTTACCAAGAAACAAACTAATCTTGCTAATTAGCAAAATAGTCAACATTAACTTGTAAATATTGTTATTGAATATGAACAATTGAAGATATTCGTAGATATTATATACTAACACTATTTTGTTTCGGAATCGCAACGTTACTATTAATATCGTTTGTGTAGTTACACTAGATGATCATGATTCGTGAACAACTATTATTAAACTAAATATAAACCAGCATTGACTTTTAATATTTGCTAAAAAAATAAATAGGTGTTATTGATCTAAATTAATAAAATGTTTTTTTCAGGTAAAATATGTCATCATGCATGTTGCTAATTATGTGTATGTCTTTGCTTTTTTTTGCTAACTCTCACAGTATATCTATATGGTTATCTACCTAACTAATTTACTAAATACCTTTTTATAGGGCACAAGTCGTGGGTTGGCCGCCGGTGAGATCCTACCGGAAAAATGTAATGGTATCAGCGGAGGCAACGTTCGTGAAGGTGTCGATGGATGGAGCTCCGTACCTGAGGAAGATAGACTTAAAGATGTACAAAAGCTACGTTGATCTCTCTAATGCTTTAGACACTATGTTTAGCTCATTTACCATGGGTAGGTTTCACTTAATCACAAATTTATTTATTCTATAACGAGATCGTAAATATTTTTATTTTTTATACTATATGTGAACGTTCAGTTTGATCCTGATGATGTGAATTTAAAAATGAATAGGTAATAATAATAAAGGAGAAGAAGGAATGAAAGACTTCATGAAAGAGAGGAAATTGATGGATAGTTCCGAATATGTTCCATCTTATGAAGACAAAGATGGTGACTGGATGCTCGTTGGCGATGTTCCTTGGGAGTATGTCTTTTCTTATTATTTTTTTTTCTTTTTTCTCACACACATATATATATATATATATATATATGTTAATTAGATGGACATAAATTAAACAAAGTTTTTTATAATTATGTAATAGGATGTTTGTTGGATCATGCAAGCGCATACGCATAATGAAAGGATTTCAAGCTATCGGTACTGGTATGTGTTTAGGTTATTATAAAATATTGAAGTGCTGTTTCACAGTTATGTTACTTTTAAAATATTTCATTTCTTTATATATGTTAAAATATTCTTGGTTGTTTTTATTTATCTCGAGAACTTTGGTTTGGTTAATGTAATTATGTAAACATTTCAGTTCCGTGAGCAATGGAGAAGTGCGAGAGCAGGGCTTGAGAAGTATAATATTCCACCGTATGATATAGTTATTATGTATTTTGTTTACCACACCGATGGTGTTCATCAAATGTTTATTTAATTACGATGTAAAACATTGTTCAGTTTCCACTTTAATTGTCTGTTTTTGATCTGGATTTTGATATGTGGATTAGTAGATATACATAATAATGAACTTAGCTGAACTTAAAAGGTGTGAGCCATTTGTATTGGAGAAAAAGTAATAAACTTGATGAACCTCTAATAATGTAACTACATTTTAGTACGGTAGTATAAAATTGGATTTAAAAATTGAAACTTTTCATAACACGTTTTTTTTATGGGTCTATCGTGTGTTTTCCTAATTGTAATTCTTAGAGGAAGCTTTTGCGAAAAAATTATATCACTTCTCTTGTTAATTAATTAATTACGTTTTTATCATTTTAATTTGATTTTCTTCAATGAAAAACTTCTCATCTTTTTTTCTACAATTATATGTAAATGTAATTTTATGACTGTATATATATTAAATTTCGGCTGAGTATAAAAATGAAAAAGACTCCCATTTGTTGGAAATTATGGTGATTGTTACAAAAGTTAAAGAACACGCACGAAGAAAGGATGAAACCCATAATCATTTCTATCCCACAGTAAATATTGTCGAAATTTTCTCATCCTTTTTTCTCTAAAAATTTTCTACGTTCATGTTATAATACACAAGCAATATAACATTTACTCTATCTCATCTCTCATTGGTATTAATACCTCTTCCTTCTCTTAAAAATGTTAAAGATATGATTGCTTATATTTCTTTATACAAACACTTTTCATAATTCAATATAGATCAAATTCTAAACACTTAATTTTGGTTGCGTTGAGTTGGAGAAATAGAGGATAAGACCTACATATATATGGGAGGGCAAAGCCATGTGCAATATTCTGCTTCTTGATTTATTTCTTATCCTTTGGCAATACTTTAAAATTAGTTAACAGAAATCCAAATTAAAGATATATCGATCATAGTACATTAAAGAAGCAGATTATTAATGGGTTTTTAATGGTCTCCTTGGGTTCTTGGTGTTTACTTGATCAAGTTGATCATATTTAGTCTTCTAAACTTTGGTTAGCTTTAACTAATTTGATCTTCAATGTATACATCTAGAGGAAAATACTGAAATAGTAGAGAACTGAAAATAAATGACAAAATGCAAAATTTTAACGAATGGGTATAATAAACACATGATGAATCCAAATTAAATCAAATAAACATTTATTGTTCCAATGCACATGCATATGGCTATACATGTATGTGTGTTTTTTCTTTCTTTACCATAGTATATTAAAAAATGCATATCATTTATGGTTTTTTAAAATTATTTTTCTTTGGTTCTTGGTGGGTACGTAATTAAGCTAAGCATATAGTTTAGTCTTCTACACTTTGATCAGCTTTAACTAATTTGATGGTCAATTGATATATGCACCTCTTTAAGGAAAAATATATAAATAGTGGAGAACTGCAAAAAAAAAAAAAAAAGATGATAGAGATGTAAATTTTTTAATGAATGGGTATAATAAGCACATGAAGTGGTGACATGAATCATAAACAAATCAATAAAAGATTTAAATGAATGTACATGCATGTATGTGTAAACACAAACATAATTGGTACAACTTAGCAGTACCCACAAACATATTCTTATATCAGGGAGTCTGGAGCAGTACCCACAAACATATTCTTATATCAGGGAGTCTGGTTTCAGCAACATCATGTTCAATGTTTAATGGAGTCAATCAATAAGTGACAAGTTGGCATTTGGCATCCTCTCTAGTATTTATCATACTTCATTATTTTTTAATATATCAAAATTAATCTAGATAAATTATACAAACCTTATAATTTCTTTTTGTAAGCATAAAAGATGTGGAGTTTGACCATATTTCTTATACTACAAAGTACAAACCTTCTAATTTATCGTACAAGCTTACTTGCTTACATTCCACTTGCGAGTGTATATAACTTCACCGAAATCCAAGAAAATGTAACACAAATGGATTGCCAAGTAACAAAATACAAAAATTAACTAATTCACATTTCTTAAAAACCATTACAGAGGCATAATTATCTACAAGATTAAATTAGTGAACTTATTTCCACCAAATTCGAATTACTCGAGGCCGCAGCGGGAAACAGAGGTCAGGCTCTCGCCTCTTGGCCACATTTAGCACAAAAGCCCACTCAAATAACAATGCTTATTTACGAGATCTTTCTACCATCCACTATATCACGCAATAACGAATCTCAGAGTAGTTCTTGGATGGTTCTCTTATTAGATGGCGAGTGTATTTACCAGCAGATGTCCTTATAAAACTTTGTGAACACATAAGGTGGTTGGTTAGAAATGACTATTTCACCTTTCTCTTCGCCGTCACCGAGAAACTTCCCTGCAACAGTCACAAGATCACAGCGAAGGGTTTCATACGACGATCACGGTTAGAAGTTAAAACATATGAGAGCATCTTAGGAGAAATCTAGGGACATATTAGGCGTCCACCTTTTAAAGCTGGAGTTTCTTTCTCGGCTTGCGCAAAAAACTGTTTGGCTTTGTGTGCTACTTCGGCTTCAAGAACTGCCTCCAACATTAAATCAGATCCTCTTGCACTCTCTGCAAACCAAATGAATTAGGATAAAGTTTCGGTCTTTCAACTTCAGTTTCTAAAACTATGGTCTACAACATTACGAAAGAGAAGACATACCTCTGCGATGAGGGAGCAACTTTGCCATTTCAGCTGAAACTGGAAGAACAGGTGAGAGACCTGAATCACTGCTTAGATCGTGAGTTTTTCCGTTGACCGTCTCAGATAGTCGTGCAAACGACGTCGCTTGGGCGTGCAGGTTAACCGAAGCTGACGACGAGGACGAGCCACTAAATTCTTGAGCCTTAATGGACATAAAAAGAGAAGCGTGTGAATGACATAAGAAGAAGAAACTAAGGGATAAAAAATAACATAAAAAGCAGACCTTTGTCCAATGATCTGCACTCTTCTGTCTTTCTACAACATTGACCGGAGTAACATTCCCTAGAAGAAAAACACCAAGATAAGGAACAAACAAGAACAAACAAGCAGGAAATAAAAAGGAGTACTTGGTTTGTAGAATACCATTGGTGCTTGGATTAGTTTCTGGAGGATGGTTGTCCACTCTTCGAGTCAAAGGACTTGGATTAAACAGAGAGAAACTTGCTCCATGGCTAATAGCATCCACTTGTGCTCGCAAATCTTGAACTTCTTTCGAAATCTACACGCGTACACGAGTGTAAGCAACATACACAAGACTAGCCTACATTATCTTGGGTAATAACCCTCAGATTCACTACAACTCCCTTTTTGATTCAAGATCAAACAATGTTGAATTCGAAATTCAAGAACATATAGGAAAAAGCACAAATCTTGAACTAGTTTCGAAATCTAAACAAGTGTATGAGAGTAAGTAAGCACAAGACTAGCCTACATTGTTTTGGGAAATATATGATCTTTTGAAACTAATGCTCACTATCATACAAACTAATTTAGCTACCATTCTACAAACATATGACCCTTTGATTCAAGAACAATGTTGAAACTGGAAATTCAAGAACAGAAAAAAGAGGAACCTCCTGCATTTGAGGCTGTTTCATGACACCATCAATGTGGCCACGAGCCATTTGGATGTACCCAATTGCTCTTCCGAATAATCTACCTCCTGCTCGAGCTATAATCGGAAGATCCTTTGGCCCTAAAATTCGGAAATTTAATATGCCAATTAAGTATCGAAACCTTTTCGATTAACATTCAAATCAGTTGAAAAACTTTGGCTGAAGAAGACGAAGATCGGAGCAGATACAGAGATTGAAGAGACGAACCTACGACAGCGGCAGTAGCGCCGATGATGACTAAAATCTCACCGTAAGAGAGCCCAAGCATTGCTTCCTTTCACCGGCGTCCGATCGTTGGCTTCTTCTTCTCCGTTTCACTCGCCGCCTTTAGTTTCTGCATCGGTGAACGAGAAGTCTTACAAGGCCGATATAACTTATTGGGCTTTTATATTTTAGGCCTTATAGCCCATTTATTAATATTTAAATGTTTTAAATATTTTACAATTTGTTTCCTTTTTCGGCTTTTCTCGCTTTTGAAGAAGAACGAATCTACTACTTCTCGTGGACACACTCTTTTTTTAAAGCGTAAAAATCCAAAGAATGTTTTGGATTCGTCGCCGGCCGTTGAGATTCTAGAAACTCCGGTGTTCTTTCTCCCGGTTCCGATTTTCCTCCAGTTTCTCTTTGTTTTATTCAGGAGAAAATTGGAATAAAACCTCACCGGAGTTGATCTGTGAAGTTTGAAGTTTCAACACTTAGATCCATGAATTTGGGTTTGAGAATCCGCAATTAGTAATCGAAGATCTAGTTATGGATTTTCTGGAACTAGAAGCGATCGAAGGTTTACGTTGGCCATGGAACTCGTGGCCAACCACAAAATCCGATTGTAAATCTCTCGTCGTTCCTCTGAGCATCATGTATACTCCATTGATGCAGTTCTCCGAGCTTCCCACGATTCCTTATGATCCGTTGATTTGCACTCGATGCGGCGCTGTGTTAAACCCTTACGCTCGTGTTGATTACCAATCTCGAATCTGGGCTTGTCCCTTTTGCCTGCTTAAAAACCCTTTCCCTCGCTCTTACGCCGGAATCACCGAAACCAATCTCCCGGCGGAGCTTTTTCCGACTTACAGCGCCGTCGAATACTCTCCTCCGCCGCGTAAATCCGTCTCCACCACGACTCCGACGGCTGCTTCGACCGCGAGCTGGACTAATGGGATCGGTCAAGGGCTACAACCATCGAGATCGATGTCTTCCACTTCGTCTTTCTCGTCTCTTGCTTCTACAGTTGGTGGGACTGGTGGTGTTAGCTACGGCGAGCTTGGTCCTGCGTTCGTGTTTGTGGTTGATGCATCTATGGTGGAGGAGGAGTTACGAGCTTTGAGAAGCGAGCTGTTGCTAGTGATTGAGCAGTTGCCTGAAAATTCCTTGGTGGCTTTGATTACTAGTTTTGATGATCACAAGTGTGTTGAATTGTTGATTTGAAGTTGGTTGCTTGTGTGATTTGAAGCTTTTTTTGTGTGTGAAACAAGTACCCTTTTAAGGCCTCTTGTTGTTCTTGAGCTCGAAATCTACCGTCTTCTTGTGTTTTATCTGGATTGTTTCTTCTTTAGCAGTGTTTCCTTATGTGTCAAATTTGACATAGTTTCTAAACTTTTTATCAGATACAACAATTTCTCGGACTTGGATATTTGAAGCAGCTTCATCATGGAAAGATGTCAGCGATTTGGAAGCAGAGTTTCTTGCTTCCTTTAGCGGAATGCGAGTTCAACCTAACATCAGCTCTCGAAGAAATCGTTCCATTGGTTAATGTCAAGCCAGGTCATCGGCCTCATAGGTCAACCGGTGCTGCGATCTCAGCAGCATTGGGACTGGTCGAGGGATGTTCCGTAACAACAGGAGCTCGGATAATGGTTTTCACATCGGGTCCCGCGACAAGAGGTCCAGGGATCGTCGTGGACTCGAATCTAAACCATTCGATCAGAACCCACAGAGACATCATCACTGGCCAAGTGCCTTACTACGACAGATCTTGCGGGTTTTACAAGAAACTAGCAAAGAGGCTCTGCGATTCGTCTGTGGTTCTCGATTTGTTCGCTTGCTCTCTTGACCAGGTTGGAGCAGCGGAGCTGAGGTACGCAGTGGAGACGTCTGGTGGGTTTCTCTTGCTTGGAGAGACATTTGAATCCGAGCAGTTCAAAAAGTGTCTCAGGCATATATTCAGGCGCGACGCTGATGGGAACTTGAATATGTGCTTTGACGTTTCTTTAGAAGTTGTGACCACTAAGGATATCCGAATCTCCGGCGCGCTCGGTCCGGTTGTGTCGCTTAGAAAGAAGAATGATATAGTGAGCGAAACAGAGATCGGTGAAGGCGGGACATTTACATGGAAAACGAGCACCGTCACGAACAAGACGTGCGTTTCCTTCTTCTTTCAAGTGAGCAACGAGCAGAATCGAAAACCGCAACCTGGTACAGCGTTCTTCATTCAGTTCATTACTCGGTATCGGTATGGCAATGGAGGACTGAGGAAAAGAGTCACAACGGTTGCGAGAAGATGGGTTAACGGAAAGTCGCCGGAGATCTCGTCTGGTTTCGATCAAGAAGCAGCTGCTTCGGTTATGGCTCGGCTTGCGATAAACAGAGCAGAGGAATGTTACGCCAAAGACGTTATTAGATGGTTAGATGACGGTTTAATCCGGTTCGCTTCACGGTTCGGAGATTACATCCAGGAAGATCCGTCTTCTTTCAGGCTGACTCCAAACTTCTCTCTTTATCCTCAGTTCATGTTCTATCTAAGAAGATCACAGTTTCTCGACGTCTTCAACAATTCCCCGGACGAGACAGGTTTCTTCCGGTTGATGTTAAACCGAGAAGGAGTGGTTAACTCAATCATCATGATTCAACCGACGCTTCTCCGGTATTCATTCGACGGACCGCCGATTCCAGTCCTCCTTGACATCCGATCTGTGACCGCAGACGCGATTCTGCTATTCGATTCTTACTTCTACGTGGTGATCCACCACGGATCGAAGATCGCGCAGTGGCGGAAGCTCGAGTACCACAAAGACGCGAACCACGAGACTTTCCGGAATCTTCTAGAAGCACCGGAGATCGACGCGGATCAGCTAGTGAGTGATCGGATTCCAATGCCGCGGATCGTGCGGTGTGACCAGCACGGTAGCCAAGCTCGGTTTCTTCTTGCGAAACTCAATCCTTCTGTTACCCAGAAAACAGATCATACCGGTGATTCAGAGATCGTTCTCACTGATGATTTGTGTCTTCAAGATTTCCTCGACGATTTGCAATCTCTCGCAGTGAAAAGCTGAGAATTGTTCTCAAATCAGCAAAACCGGTTTGATTGGTTCGGTTTTTCATTGGTTGTAATTGGAAGTGTATGATTTGGTTTTCGATCTTATATAGAAACGGTTTTGATCTTGTGAACCAATTTGTGCAATACCAACGAACCGGGTATAGATTGATTTTTTTTTTTCATTTTCTCGAGAAAGTCCTGGAAAACATTGAATCACACGGGGAAGAAGAATCGGATTTACAAACAGAATCAATATAGATAACAAAAGATCCTAATTCCCCAAATTCATATGAATCTACAGAATGTTAAAAGCCTCATAATCCGCCGTCATTTTCACCGGCAGCGACGTTAGCGAGCATTGCTCCGTACGGGGATTCCAAATCGTCCGTCACGAGATCGTCTGTTCCTCTAATCGCAGCGTGAAAGATCACGAGAAAGACGCCGAATCCGACGGTTATAAGCGCTCTGAGAAAGACTCCGGTGATGACGAGCGAAGCGATGGTAAGACCGGCGAGAAACGCCGTGACGACGACTTCGTTAACGGAGAAACCGAAGATGACGAGTGATTCTTCGCGAGCGAAGTAGAGGAAGTACCAAGCGAGACCGACGGCGATAAACGCGAGAATCGCGATCGGGCGTGTGATTAGAGCGAAAGCTAGGAGGAAGTAGAGGATGATACTGTAATTGATTCGGAAATGGGCGAGGTTCTGCGTCAGGCGTGTGGTTGCGTCGGCGACGGAGGAAGGGAAGCTTAAAGCAGATAGATCTAGAAATTCACCCCAGGGACGAGCAGCGCCGGCGAAAGACTGAGCGGTTTCTTTGAAGCCGGAGATTACTTGATTCGCCATTGTTGCTCTTGATTTCTGAAACCCTAAATTAACATATCCAGTGCGAGGGAGCTTCGTGAAAAAGAAAGGAGGAAGCAAAGTCACACAGTCAGACTGATTTCAATGATGAAATAAGGCTTTTTAAAAGGTCCATTTAGTAAAACCCATTATTAAAAGTCGCTTAATATGAATGGTTTTTCCTGAAATGGTTTATGAATCTTGTTGCCATGTAATGGCAATCTTAGCTGTAAGGCTTGGCACATTGATTGGACTAAGATCCAAACATGAAACACCTGCATATGAGATTGTAGTTCCTTGCGATTAAATGGTCACATCTCTGAAGGTTGTTCTTGTTTCATTTTTTTTGAATAATAATCTGTATTGGACACATTTACCTGTTAATGGTGTCTTTTATTCTTCTAGATTGAATCCACCATAGCTTTCACGATTATTGTATAATGATAATGTAATTCTTAATTAAATTAATAAAGATATATTTGACGTAAAAAATAATAATAATAATCTGTATTTGGACTCTACATAAAATGGTTTACTATGTCCACATATGGTTATCTTATAATATGTAACTATGTATTATATAGAGTTACACCGTTTCAAAATAACATTCTAGATATTCTGCTACAGTTAACTAATAATGTTTTATATTGAACTATAAATTTATCATAGTGAACTAGTAAATCCATTTTATGGGTATTAAAATTTACAAACAACGTGGTGGACTAAGAAAACTAGTTTGATTAGGAGAAATGCTATCAAAGCAGAAATTTCAACCTATCTTGTAGAAAGTTTTATGTAAGCCACTAAAAAAAGAAAAAAAAAAAGTGTAAAAGCAAAGAAATATTCTATTGTTTAAAAACATGAGAGTTTAGACCAAAACAAAAATCTCAAGCAGATCAAGAAAAAAAGAGAAAGAGAGACATAATGTTTCCAAAAAGATAAAGAAAGACTCTTATTTTGGAGCATAAGACAAGACTCTGCATAAGAGTTTCTTCATTTGAGAGGGATAAACCTGGAGGAGTTGGTAGCACCAACACCAGGCCTACCGTGCTTAACCGGCTTATATGAGATCGAGAACTCAGCCAAGTAGTGTCCAATCATCTCCGGTTTGATCTCGACTTGGTTAAAAGTCTTTCCATTGTAAACACCGATGATGCTTCCGATCATTTCAGGCACAATGATCATGTTCCTCAAGTGGGTTCTCACTGGTTCTGGCTTCTCACCAGCTGGTGCATCTCTCTTCTGCTCATAGAAAGAAAATTCATAATCTTTAGTGTTTATATAAAGCCATTTAACCGCAAAGAACCAAGTACAAGATTAAATAGAGAAGCATGAATATATGTATAGAGATGTATATACAACAAAGATAGCAACACGAAAATGAGGTATTGATCATTAAACAAAGAGATGACGTTTTAATATGCATAATCTCTAGTGTTTGAAGCCATTTGGTAGGAAAGAAGGAGCACAAAAACGTACAGAGAAATGGTTATACACTAACGACATGATTATCATGAAAATGGGGTATTGATTATCTTAATTATTAAACAACTAGTTGACTGAAATATATTTAGCATAATCTTTAGTGTTTAAAACCATATGGTCACAAATATCGAACACATAATGGCATATGCATAGGACGGAAATAAAAAAAAGTATAAACATTATCAAAATTAGCACGAAATCATGGTATGGATTATCGGAATTATTAAACAACGATGGCATTATTCACACAAGACATGAGTACTCTACAGACACAACCGGGTATAAAAGAACATATGGTTCTATTAGCCATCAAACAAAACCAATTCAGGAATCAATCACATAAACCAGAAAATAAGAATTTGATCATCAAAATATTACTTAACGAGGATAAAATGATGCACAATATATTCGAGAAGCAAAGATCCAAAATAGTGACTAGAGAAAATTAATGTTTATTACCGCTTTGCGCAATTTCTTGATCAAAGCCATCGGCTTCCTGGTCAATCCTCTAGAGAACCTAAGTAAAAGAATTAACATAACAAAAAACCGACCAGTTTCAGAACCAAATAGACAGATCTACAAATCGAGACAAAATGTTTTTATTGGTTCAAAGGATCAAACCTTCTGCGGATACGAGAGCTGAAGAGCTTGACAAGATCATCGGTAGACATGTCAAGAAGAGCATCGAGATCGACTCCTCTGAAAGAGAACTTCTTGAACGTTCTCTTTTTCACGATTCCTGCAGCAGCAACCTCTGGTTCGATATCCGCCTAAACAGATTTCCATGGGAAGAGAATAATTACAAACATAATGATGGGAAATGTAATCAGGAGAATTAAGAGATTTCAGAGATCGAGGAACAAACCATTGTTGATTCGATGAAACCCTAAAAAAAACCCACAAAGCTTTTAAACAATGACTGCGCAAGCGACAAACAACTTAACTTAAGCACCAAATATAAAACTCGGCTAACCCTAGAAACCTTCTATTGTTTTTCATTTTTCATATGGGCCAGTATATTTGGGATTTGGACATTTGGGCCTTGAGTTGTGAAGTTCAGCCCATTGTTATTGTTGTATTGTTATCGTCACACTCTGTTTCAAATGTGTTACTCTTGCATCTATATCAAACACTCTCTATAAGCATAATCCTATAAGTGTGTCCAATTACTAAACACATACAAGAAGAATATTACTGTGGCCTTGCTACTATATGTGTTTAGTAATTGGACACACTTATAGGATTATGCTTATAAAAATTGGCGAGACCAGGCTCTGGTTTGCTCACCTATAGATTACCGTAATTTAAACACATGAAGGGACTAATAATATATAATAGCATATGAAAATGGTCTTTCACATGTAAATGAACCATTTTTTAATCCTGATCATCAATGCATTTACAAATTTATCAAAAAAAGAACCGGTCTTTCCCAACAATAGATTTTGCAAAAATGTTTTGAATCTTCTATAAAGACATGAAACAAGAGTTTTAGATAGATCTTAGGAATAAGATGAGTAGCAAAACAAAGAAATACAGACAAAACAAAAAATAAAATAAATAACATTCATGAAATATAACGGTAAGCAATTTTTATATTATTTATCTCCAATTTCATTATCTAGAGTTCTAGAGACATTAGGCCTAAAGTTTGATTAACGTCTCAACAAATATGTTTGAACATGGGGACAAAAGTTTTTTTTACTCTCTCTTTTCGAAAAGATACATGTGTCGACGATATAAACCTACTGAATAAATAATAAATACACAAGTTGCCTCAAAACAAGTATTATCCTAAAAGCCTAACATCTTTCTCTGCTGAATTTTCCGACTAAGTTCCTCTGCCGACGGGATACCATCACCGCCACTTCTTCCGGCACTTTTTCCAGCGCTCCGCCACCATGCCTTTAACTCCTCCTACTCAGGTAAACATTTCAATATATGAAAACGTATACACAAATCACACAACAGCAGCAAATTAAACTGAAAACTTTTCACAACAAGAAAACAAAAAATAAACTCTTGATAACAACATCTAGGAATATTTTTTCTTTGCAAATTCCAAAACTTTTAACATAACTGATCAACCAATAACTATAATCAAACGATTGCGAGATTAATTTACCTCAAGAAAGTCATGGTTTGAGATAAACTGAGACTCAACAAAGCAAGTCATCCCTCCAACCTTAACCGAAATTGAGCTATTACTCTCTGAATGTTTCCTTGAGCTTGAGCTTTGTCTCTCTATGGTCCCTACACAAGTTGTTACAAAAAACCAACATTGAGTCACAAAAATTTACAAAATAAGCGATTTTCGAGTATTGATTTTATATGCAAATATACCAACCATCTATGCGGGCAACGTGATACCCTGTTCCTCCAAGACCTTCTTCCCATTTCCCGAGCCTTAACCGCAAGAAGAACCCTTCAAGACCGGACACAGACTTCTTGGTGTTTATCCATCTGGAACCGAAAAGTCCAGAGTGTCAAATGAATATGCAAAATAACTGAAATAACTGTTAAACTGAATCTTACTTGAGAACGTCTGTGCGGGTCAAGCGAAGGACTTGAACAGCGTCAAAGACCGCCTTTGGTACCTCTTCGAAGTCTCTAAAGGGAAGTTTCGTGCCAGAGGTAGAAGCTAAAACGTGCTTCGTCGCTCTATCTGCAGCTCCTGAGCTGTGCGGTGGAGCGTTTGGGCACGTTGCGGCCCAGTGACTTAGCTGAAAACATCTAATGCAAAGACTTGACGCTTCTTCTCTTCCGTTGCGAGCACTAAGGTTCTGTACAAGATCTCTGAGCTCAGTGTCGGTCACTTCCAAACACTCCTGTAAACGATGACCCTTTTTACCGCAGTAGAAACATATTGGTCCCTGTCCTTCCTCTGCATTCTCGGTTAAAGAACCTGAAGGCATGATGTGTTTGAGTGCTTCTATTCTTCTTGCAAACAAAGAAGCCATTGCTTCTGAGGACTCTATCCTCAGTGAAGAAACTATGGGAAGAATCTTGTTCGGATTCTTGAACATTTTCTGCGAGGTTGAATCTTTGGCCGCGTCATTGGTGATTCTCTCATGAAGATCCTTTTTCTGAGGGAAAGAGCTTTTAGAAGAGAACCTGCTTATCCACAAACTCTCAAGACCAGAGTTTCTGTTGGTGATAACCTTTTCATCAGCTTCACCACAGGGCTTTTCCTCTTCATTAGGCTTGGACTTGCTAAGAGACAACAAGGAGATGTTTAGCTCTTTGTCCTCGAGTTTGTTCCCGGAAGAGAATGCTTCACTAGTCTGGTTAATTCCAACTTTTCCAGATGAAATGTTGTGCTCAGCCACCGGAGCAATCTCAATCTCGTTACCAGATGAAGAAAAGTGATCTCCTCGTCTGGTACTGAGACATTGTTCCTGCAAAGAAGCATCATTCTTGGAATCCATCTCCACGACATCTTCTAAAGTTGTTTTCTTTGGACAATATATAGACTGGAAAAAAGACTGGAAACCGGTGTTTCGATTCTCCTTCAAATGCTGTTGATCAACGATCGCATTGACTTGAACATTAGGAGCATCTGAGGTTTTAGTAGTAAGAGCTGCAAAAGGAGAGTCATCTTCTTCATTACCTTTCCAAATTCCCTTTGTCATGTTTGATATCCAGTTCATAAAGGAACTATCTTGCTTGAGCTTCGAAGTTGATCCCAAACATTCTCGACTCAACGATTTAAGCCGTTTGCTTCCAAGAATCAGCTGCTGCTCAAACCCAGCTCTTTTCTTTCCCCTTAAGAGCAGACCAGCACTGTTGCAACTTTCTACACTCCCAAAACTCTCTTCATCATCATCATCACCATCCCCACCATTAAAGTTTCCATCAGATAAAGCTTTTTCTTTCCCTTTCGCTACCGCACGACGCTTGTAAGAACCGCTGGTTCCAGCTTCTTCCACATCCTCCGGCAAGCATTCTCCTTTTCCCTCACATGCCACCAAAGCAGCATTACTAGCTCCAACCGCAGGAGTTGCAAGGTCGTTCTCATCCGTTGCTTCTAAACTATCAACATTCAAAACCGGTTTTTCTTGACATCCACCACTTTCTCCTCCAAGAGCTTTTGGACTATCTACTCAATACACCAAAGAAATCATAAGAGAGCTTAAAAATCCATACTTTGAGAACTTCTTTACTTGAAAGTGATAAAGACATCATTTTTTTCACCTAAAGATCTCTTGGAACTTCCTTCTTCACTCTCTGCATCATCATTAACTTCAACTTTATTATCCTCAACAACCATCTCTTCTCTTTCAGGTTTCATCTCCTCAACGGAACCACCAATTCCTGTAAACACATAACACACAAGAAACTCTCATTATTATCACCTCAAGAAGATGCTGAATCTAATGATCTTGCTCAATCATTTACCAACCTGGCAATGGTCTATTCACTTCATCTTGCCTTCTCAATTCGACATCTTCGACACTGGTGGTGCTTTTCTCATGAACCTCCATGTTGTTGTTGGTTTGTCCTCCTATAGCATCAAAGAAATTAGGAAAGAGTAATTTTGCCTTTCCCGGGAAACTCAAATCTGCACATCTTAGGCTTAGACCGTTGCGAGGAGACCACACTAACTCTGATAAAGCATCCACCGAAGCAAACTTCATTCTTTTTGCTTCTGCATTGGCAGCACTACTCGTAGACGAACGCTTTAGCTTTTTACTTTGTTCATCTTCATCATCCATATCTCCTGAAACCAATCACCCTGAACACACAATTCAACACACGATCGAGGATCCATAACAAAAAAAATTGACCTCAACGACAAAATTAAGCAAAATCCAAATATACAAAATTGACTTCAGCGACGAAACTAGGCAAAATCTAGTAACGATTTGGAATTCGGAGATTTTAGATTTTACACATCGGTGGATCAATCAAAATGATGATTACCTCTATCTCAAGCAATCATTTCAAAAACTAGTTATAAAGTTGTTCAACTACTGAAATCTTAAACCCAGAGAAAGAGATTTCTTCTTAAAAATCAAAAATCGAACAGCATACACGTCAAAATTCTCAGAACCAATCAGAGAACAAACAAACAAAAAAGGTGAAATCGAACGTATACTTACCTCCATCGAGGAATCGATTTTTATTCCTACTTCAGCGAATTCTCCGCTAAGAAAGGAGAAGAATGAGAAAAAGGAGAGAAAGTGAGAGAGAGAGAGAGAGAAAGAGAGGAAGACGAAGACGACAGCGCCAAGCGGCTATGGCTAACGATGATGTGATTTGAAACTTGTTTCAAAAGCTTTTTATTTTTACTGTAATTTTGTTATAAGGCCCCCAGACTGCCACGTGTACACATTCTTCTCCATACATTTCACACTTTCTCAACATTTTTTAGTATAATGTTTTCGGATTCCGGCCATGATGATTTTTTAGAAATTAGTGCAAGTAATAAAAAAGATGATAATCATATCGAAAGATTTGTAGTAACGCGAGATATTTTGTTCTTGTAATATTTTATTCAAATGCATACAAATATTACCTAACCGCTTCTTCTTTCAATGATTTTCTCTCCTTTTTATCCTAAAATCTATATAAAGTGAGTGAATACAAAATTGTTTACTATATAAGTTAAATAAAAAAATGCATGATGAGTTATGTGTCCTTTTCCGCTGTCATGTTCGTGTTTGCTTCTGTAGTTACTGTACGGCTGCTTTCAATTTTACTTAAGCTCGTTGAAAAAAGTAATATGTACTAAGTTCTGTTACAAGAATAACAAATGTTGATAGTATAACACTGATGTATAGTGTATACTATACCGAGGGTATATAGTAATATAGACCACATGTTTAATTCTTTATTTTTTAATAATTGAACCGTTTGTATTTCTATAATGTATATGTGCGTTATTTATGTCCATATTCTTTGTTTATAAAAAGAATAAATGGACACATCGGTCTAGTTTTGTTTTCCCTAATGCCAATGTTAACATTTCTGTTTTTCTCTCATTTTCGATTATTTTAAACATTCTATCTGGTTTCCAATTTTGGGCTTAGTTTGACAAAAGTATGTAATTACATTATTATTACATATATCTTGCACTATATATATATCTCGAGTCCATGTGAGATCAAGATTTACGAGCTTTTATATGACTGTATGTTTGGTCTCTATCGTTTTTTTTCCAGATGTGAAACGTTTCACATGTTTGATCTCTAGTTAACTATTACCTTGTCTATTCAAAACAACTTTTGATTTCGTTCATTTTTTATTGAATCCTATTTTTTGGATTGGATATTCATTTGATTTTAATTAGTGGAAGCTTCTCTCGGATGAAAAACTATATAACAAAACGTATGACCTCAATATTCTAGTTTTTAAAAGCGAAAATACGAACGTCATGTCGAGCATAATTCGACAATGAAATGAATAGCTTACGACTTTAGTTCTGCATGTTATTATTTATTTTAAAATAATTTCGAATTTCTAATATATACTACAAGAAAAATGTTTTGAAATTACTGGAGATGTATTTGTTTTGTTTTCTTTATCAGCTTTATTATTTCAACGTCAAAAGTGTATGTTCCATGCTCTACAGAGTACAGACATTCCACATGCCAATTATAGACAAATTATGTCACTTTTTGTTTTTGAACAACTTAAGTCACTTCAATATGTAGTATTGCTTAACAAAATATACCTTATTGTTTAAAAAAAAAAAAAAGATTTGTAACAAGGGTTTACAATAGTTTCAAATTTCAAGCATTAAATTTCTTCTACTTGAGAAAGAGTGTAATTTAGTTTCTGTTAAACCAGTTAGTTCTACAAATTAATAAAATAATTGACGTTGCATAGCAAATACGCAGTCTATGGTTATCCAGTAATTTTCAACTTATACGTTTGTCTACAACTAATTACTGGTATAATAACAATATTTTTTTGTACCAACCTAGTTTTAACAGTTGTAGTAGCAATGCAAATTCACAGTCTCTATAACACTATAACCATGTTAATTTAATCTTCAAGTAAAAAGTTCATAGTCTCTAACCATATCTTATTTTAAGGAAATAATAATTCAGATGATGTAGCTAAGGTTTTCTACAGCAAAATTGGGTAAAGAGAAAAAGAGACAATGAAGCAGTTGGAGGTGAAACATCAAAGGACTATAAAGTTTCTTTCATCATAAAGACCTTGTCTCAATTTTTGTCCTCATTTAGAAGAAAATGTATATATCTATAAAAAAAAACCACGAGTCTAGCTTGTAGTCCATTTAATATTTTCACAAATAAATAAAAGGTTGGATTAATTTGGTGAAGTATCATATAGACTTAAATTTGAAAGCTGATGTATTGAAAACAGCTAAGCAATAGGGTCCCAAATACTTAATTTTGGTCATGGGTGTTATACCGACCTATTTTTTATGTCAACTACGTACGTATATATAGAATCATACATAAGTCACATATGTTTATATTAGGGCTACTTTAACCAAATTGAACTACTCATGAATGATAATCCTTGGAACCATAAAAAAAAAATCATTAATTTATGCATATATGTATCAAAACCGAAACAATATCATGTAATATTAGTTATATTCATTCGATCATATGACTTTTCGCTAGGTTTTGGATGAGATATTTTTGCCGTAAAGAGATTTGGTAAAAGAACAACTAAGGGTCTGACTGGTTTAACCGCTGCGGTTGCGGTTGCGGGTGCGGGAGTTTGCGAAGCGGGCGGTTGTGATTAGTAGCGTTATTAAGCGGTTTGTACGACTGGCATAACAATTGAAAATGGATGCGTTTGCGGGTTACTTATGACTGGTTCACTTGCGGATGCAATAGCGGTTAAACAATAAATTAATAATATAAACACATTATATAATTATAAAAATATCAAAAATATTATAATGAAAATTTTAAATTTATGGTTCAACATAATTAAAAATAATTTTTTTATAAAGAATAATATGTGTATAATACTTACGTCTATCTTTTAATTTCTATAATTTAAATAAAAATGTGATTTTATTTTCAAAATATATATTTAATGTGAAAATTAAATTTATTTTACAATTTTATTTATTAGATATATATGTATTAGTATGAAAAGAATATTTATGAAGAGAATTTTGATTTGTAGAACTTATAAATATATAAGTATTATATGATTTTAATGAATATTGACTAAAAGTACTAATTTTTTATTTATATTGTGATTTTATTATCCAAATCTTATTTTTTAATAAATATTATTATTTATTTTCGGATTTTATATAAGTTTGTGTTTTTTTTTTTTTTTAATTATCCACCCGCAACCGCAAACGCTTGCGGAAAGGAGCTTTTGATTTTCAGCGATATAGAGCGGTACAGAGTGGTATAGAGCGATTCAAAGCGGTTGTCGTGATTGTTATAAACCGCCGAAAACCGCTACGAACCGCAAACGCTGCGTTTGCGGGTGGTAGCGGGAGAACCAATCAGGCCCTAACTTTTGATAGTCTCCTAGTTGATGTAGTCTAAAACTAGCGAAATGGATTTTTTATTTGGATAATTTGTGACCACCCTCCAAATTTGAAGTTTTTTTTTTTTTTTTTTTTAATTATTAATTATCACTTTGTAGTAATATTATCGTTTTAGCTTAGCTTAATATTTTGTATATTTAGTGATCCCAAACAAATCTAATTACTTCGCCAAAATATGGTATTATTTCAGTTATTAAATACATGAAAAAATAAAAATAAAAAAAATATAATAAATTGGTTGTTTTTGGCTTTTTTTTTTTGATATATTCAAACACTAAATGTAAAACAACAATATAACTAAAAATGAAACTACTATCATGTTTTAACAAATTAATATATACTGGGCATAGTTTTCTTATTCATGTAATTTTATCTTTGTACTTGATATAATATATATATATATATATATATATATCATTTTATCATATTTACTCAAATTTGCATGACTTTTTTTACTTTATTTTTTGTTATTATTTGCATAAATTTTATTTACTGAATTCTTTTGTTTTGAACGTTCTCAAAGGTGTATCTTCAAATTTCTTATAAGATATTTTATACAAAACATTATATAATAAATCATTAACAAAATATACTTCAAATTTTTGTATCTATACTTATATGCCAACAAAATATCAAATATGTGATCATGATTTAACTGTCTTCAACTATCAACTATCATCTACGATTGAACAACAAAAGATAATGTATCAATATAATTATTAAAATGTATAAAAATTATAGAAGAAAATATAAAGTTTATATACTTTAATTTACAAAATTATAGTCTTATAAGTTATCACCAACTTGAGACATATATTCCACAAATTTGTTTAAACAAAGAGGGACCTAAAACGGGAATGGACCGAAGAGTTATAAACTATATTTGATCAAGTTCAAAAAGTAAAACACATCAAATTTACGAATCAAAGATTTACTCGGTTCCTTACTTGGCGACATTACATAACATCCTTTTCACGGCAGTCTCTGCTTTGGTTTCGTTTTGGATCATCACCAAGCCTACACCAAAGTATTTTTGGTCCATGATCATCTTTTTCATGTCTCAAGCGGATGTTCTCTTTGGGTCAAAGACATGTCGTATACCAATAGAAGAGGGCCTCCTCGTTCCACTCCTGGTAAGTCTTAAGTAATATACTACTTTTTTCTTTGCTCTATATTTATCAGTAACAAATATAAGATATCTCTCATATCTTTTTCACC